TTTATTGCAGCACACGACAACGACGGCAACGTGGCCCTGTCTTTACTGAACCGACAACAATTCTTTTAGTTTTAAAGGCTTAGCAAACCGTTGGATTTACAGTACTTTAAAAACACTGGAAAGAAATATAAGCCTGTATCGTATAAATTCCAATCAAAAGTGGATATTTTAATATAAAAGTTATATGATATCAGGACTAAAAGTGTCACAGACACGAATGCAGTATTGAAGTTTGGAGAATAAAAAGATAATTAATTTTACTAATGCGATTAAATTTAGTTGTGAGTGTTTTATGATTAAAAACTGCTTTGGGCAAGTTATTGATTTTGTATTGCTAAATGTCGGTATTTTACAGCTTTGGGTCGTTATGTATGAAAAGGTCCAGAAGTAGTTAAAACGTAATGGAGATGGTGTATTTTCTCATGTATCCTACGAAATATCTGAACACAATAAACCATTTAGCATCCATTTTAGCTGACGTTGTCATGAATCTCAGTGCTTTAAGAAAAAGAGTTAAATGTGTTTTAAGTTCTCTTCAACTTGACTTTTCCAGCTGCATAATTAGATACATAACCATATGATTTCTCCAAAGGGACCGAGTAAGAATTTATTTCAACAACAGCTTTCAATGGTAGCGGGCTGGATCCAGGCCTGTCACTAATGGCATGCCATCGAAGTGAAACATTCCAGCTGACACACACTCACCCTTTGTACGATTGCACAATTTTTGACGAATACCAGACTTGAAGTGTTCGCGATCACTGGCTACTAGGGGTCAGATGGACTGCGCTCTCGCTCCAGCTGGCTGAAGATGAATGGGTTTGTGACCTTGCATACATTACTCTCCCTTTCCCATCAGACTCGCCTGTTCACTTCCCGCCAATTTCATTGTTTTTAACGGCGTCTTTATATGACTTTCATATTGACAATACACCGAGCAGTCTATACTGGCGAATCGCATAGCAGCGTTGAACGTTACACTCTGAACTGAAAATATCAAGAGGGCTTAATAAAGCATATGATATTCATCTAATTTATTCGAATGGCAGTAGCCTTCAAAATGAAAAAAAAATACCCCTTGATTATTTTTCTTCTGCTTAGGGCTAAAGTAATTCTAAACTTTCAGCCCATATACCGTCCCTAGCCATTTCCCGGCAAGGCTGATCTTCACTACATGGTACCTTTTCAAATAAAATTTCTATGCTTAGTTAGTAAATTAATAAACAAAATTGGCAATTTAATTTGAAATTTTCCTTGAATGCATAAAACACTCATTAGTCGCCTTCCAGCCACCTTAACTGGCCTTCCCCAAAACAACTTATATGCCATGATGTCAGTCCCCCAAAGCAATTACAAAACAATCTTCCTGCAGAACCTAGTGTTGTATGCAGTGCAGGCTGCAAGACATGCCATTATCCCTTCCACTCTCTACTTGGAATGTAAGACCAGCCTGGGGTGACAAGGGCCACAATTAACAGGAGGATTTGTTTGGTCGGAATACCTTGACCCCATGCGGTCAGCCGAAGTGGGGTGTACCCCTACGGTAACAAGGGACACGGGGAATGGACTGAATAACCGCAGATAGTTTCCTTGTCACGTAAATGCTAGCCTGAAACTCTGGAAACTGGTCTCCTCGTTTCCGGAGCCCATTTCTGTGTTGGTAAACTGCCAGCGGAAACGACTGGGTGCAAACACTGCACCCGTTTCCGTAGGTATGAAATTTCCGGAAACTACACCTTTTGCACAGTGTGAATGTTGCAGTTTTTTCAACCTTCTCCAATTTTTGCGTAATTAAGACTTATCTGTGGTACACATGTCCTGTTCCCACGCAAAGAAGACTCCGTTATTCGACCATAAATAATCTAAAACCTATCCAATTCTTGCCATGTTGGCTTCATCTCAAAGGGCACATGTTCTTCTATCGATTCATGTAAGTTTCGTATCCATATTTGCTGTCGTTAGGGAAATATCGTCATAAGAATGTCTGAGTTGATGTGCAACTGCCTGCTATTTTTGCGTAATTCTGANTGTTACAACAGCCGTCATAAAGTGATTACATGTCCCAAAAAGTGAAATTTAGCAAGGAAAATTCGGAAGCATTGACTTAGAAAACAGGGCTTCTTCAGACAAGTCTCATACAGGTTTGTGCACAGGGGCATCAAGTGTTGTCCGTGGCACACTTTCCGTGCTGGATATGGCGCGCGCGGCACGACCAGTCGGTAGATGGCGCTTCGTCTTATTTGTTTTACGTTTTCGTCATATATTGTTTAGGATTTCGTTCTACATGTAGATATTTTACATTTTGGTCTGTATCACAACCGGTCTGGCATCGAGGTGGCGGCGCTTCGTCCTCTTCTTCGTTTCGTTCTATATTTGTTAGCTTCGTTCTATATCTATTAGTTTCGATCAATAATTATTAGTTTCGTTCTATATTTTTTAGTTTCGTTCCATACATATTAGTTTCATCCTATATATGTTAATTTAGTCCTATAAAATAGTTTCATGCTATCTATATTAGTTTCGTCTTCTCTGTTTATTGGTTTTGTCCATATATTAATTTTGTTATTATTTATTAGTTTCCTATATAAATCACCTTTGTCCTTTAAATGTTCTTTTGCCCTTTTTATAGCTTGGTTTCATACTTTATGTATTAGTATCGTCCTATGAATACTTCTTTCGACCTTTGTATATTTGTTTCGTTTTAGAGATTCCAAGATTGAGGCACAATTAGGGAGCAATTTTTCGTTTCTGATTCGGCAGAGGTTTGATTCGGCACGATATAGTTGTTGTAGAATTTTGGTAACTGAAGTATGACCGGAAGGATTGACATCTAGTCAGTGCACTATCATTACAATCAAAATTAGGACAAATTAAATCATATAACCACAAGCGTCTTGGGACAGTACATACCAGGCGTGTCAACCGGAAAATATTTACGTTGGTACCTGGTGTCTGCCTCACAGTATGGCGATTTTGAGGTATCTGGCTCGTAAATACAAAGTGGCCGATCACTGGTATGCGGACGACCTGAAGGTACAGGCTAAAGTCAATCAGTATTTTGACTGGAATCACACTGGACTCCTCATAGCCGCCAGGGAAGTCTTCTTTATTGTGATATGAAGAATATCAAATATATTACCGTTGTCGAAAGGACAAAAAGCCGCCATGTTAACCAAGCTTGGATCAAACTACGAGACTACAGTCGTCTGACTTGAAAAGTCCGTTGGTAGAAAATGCCTGGAAATTGTTCTAGAGAAAATCCAACATCACATGTATTACTTCGTTCAGCTGTAATATATATAATTCAGTCTTCATGAGATATATGAGTGATAATGTCACCTGTTATCTTTCAACTTCAGAACAATGCAACTTTGCGTGGCGAACACGGTTTTGGTACCCCAACTTTCCAATTTTGCTAACCACCATCCCCCCCGACAAAACTATATGAGACCCAAACAGGGGCGCCTGTATCGTTATTTCAAAGCACTGTTTTTTTCGGATCAAGTTAAGCTTTATGTGTCGGTATTGACAAATGCTAAGGATTTCTTTTTTATGTGGTTTGAGTACTGATCTTTATTGATCGAGGTCGTAACGCTGCGACGGACGGGAAAGCCGATGGACGAAGCCGAACTGACCGAAAAAATCGAGAGATTCGACAAGTCTCTCAGAACAATCGAGAAGGTGTTTCTAATTGAGGACAAGGAGTATGTTGCTTCGGAGGAAATCAACATCGCCAATATATGCTGTTTGTCAGGGGTAATTATTGCACTGTTGACAGAACATGGGCGTAGATGGTGGGGAATAGAGGGGTATATATACCCCCATCACTTCTTGAGCGGGGGATAGATTATTGAATCATCCCCCACTTTTTTGTGATGGACAAAATAATTAAGTAGATTGTGAAGAATTTTGAGGATTTTCCAACGACTGAACTGTTTGTAATGTCACTAAAACGGGACAAGATTTTTAAAAAGCCATAAATATGCCACTCTGATGTAAGATTCTGCATGAAATTGATACACATTACAGATGTACATCTTTATCATGAACATCGCCCCCTCTATAGTGTATATGGTGTCCCCCCCCCACTTTTCATATTTTCATGGCCAGGCAAGTCGCCCCCGCCTCCTTTCCCCATCCCCAACCCCTCCAATTTCCAGCACAGATTTACGTCACGGTTGTAGACCGACAAAATTCATATTGCTTCTCAGTCAAACCAAGACGTTAACGTTTCAGCGAAGATCTACAGCAGGCCTAACTGTATTTATGAGCACCGATGAAAAACTTGTTCCCTCATTATGACCAAATGAATGCGTATTTTTAACTACATCACCAGTTGAAGATGCACATCCGTGAATGGGCACCAGCCTAGATTGGTAATAGTCACTGAAACAGATTTAGTGTTGGCCTGTCTGAATTACATGGCTATGGCTTGAACTAACACACTAGACTATGACAGTAGCTCCAGCCTCTGGTTGCAGTGGCTGCTGTTAAGACAACATATCAGTCAATATACCTTATGGGAATGAGTGGGGACATTGAAAAGGTAGCACCAGAACAACTTAATTTGGTTTTGGGCTACAAGCATGAGGAAATCGTGAACCTTTACAGTGTGTCCCAAAAGTGATGCAAGCAAGTAGTGCTTTATTTTCGACTTCAAATGCCAGGTGGAAACTCCGCGCTTGACAATGCTGTTAATTCTCCCGCCTTTGTGTTGCCAATAATAGTAGTAGTCTGTGAACTAGCGGAATGCAGTTCCCACCCAAGGAGCCTCCGTTGCTAAGAAAATTGCGCCCTGTCTTGGTCCAGCTCGGGACTTATAGGCATTCTCTGGCGACTGGCTCAACCCAGACAGTCGCTCGGCAAAGTCAATCTGATCCAACTCTCCGGACTATCTGCGTCGATGTTTGCGTTCAAGTGGCACAAACTCAATTTGGAGTGCCTGTGTTGTTACGGAGGCATATCTCTGGATTGGTAAAAGGAGTTAAACATGAAATTTCATACCATCGTCAAGCTAAAAGTTTCTTTTTAAAATTATGTCAGTTGAAAATACCACCAGTTGGCATGTTATGCTTACAATTGCTTGCATCATGTTTTGGGACTCACTGAAGTTATTGCAGACGGAAAGACTGCAAAAGCAAAAGCAAAAGGGTGACTACTCGTCTTTCCTATGGTATAATTGCACATCTTTCCCTTTTTGTTTCTTGTCAGCTGATGCAAGTCCTTCCACGAGGACCGACGTGCTGGCCAACCACCCAAAACTCGCTGCCTGGAAGGAGAGAGTTGAGCAGCGACTCCGCCCGGACTACGACGATGTTTTTAAGGATCTCTTTGAGTTTGACGCCAAAACCTAAAAAAGTAATGGAAGTCAGTGAGTGCATCGTCGTTCTCCATATTCTATCATATGTAGGAAACGGCCTTTTCTTTTTTTACTAGCATCACCAAATACGTCCAAGCAGATGCAGTGATTGAAAGGAGTAAAAGAAATAAACATGTATTAATTTGACGTAATAGGTGACAACATTCTTTAAAGGTGCTGTCATTACTTTTTAATTCTGCCCAGTGTTTTCCACATTTTATTTTCTAGAAATGAGCATAATTCATTTGAGATACATGTAAGTAATTTGACTTGAAAGTAAACAGTTTTGTTTGGCCATTTCTCGATAGTATTGTGAGAGTGTGTGACGAGACAGAGTAGCTGCTGCACTATGTTCATGTTGCGACACCAAGGGATGCGATACAAACTTATTTATTAATTAAAAATTCTGTTTCAACAAGCGATTCCATAAGTGCCAAGTGAATTCCTGTGTTATCGAGACAGAGACCGTCACGTATTATGTGATATGGGAAACCAATGTCTAATCTTGCATGGAGGGATATTAACTAGTTGTAGTTTAATGATTCGAGTCCATGACTCGACTGGAGTCCGATTCGAGTCACAGTTTCTTGTGACTCGACTCGAGTCATTGTGACGTCACTGTGAACCAGAAAGTGCAGTGCAAACGAATGGAGTGCGCGCGCGTGTTGGTTCACGCTACACACTAATTGTGCGCGTGACGTATTCACTTCGGTACTTTATTACTGGCGCTCCCGTCACACTCTGTCCCGTGTAGGCCTACTCTGTATCAGGTGCGAAGGGACTGTGTTATACCTTGCATTTGGATCGATCGAGCGATAACAAACCCAGAGCTGTGGTTTAGGCAGAGCAAGCATTGAGTGGGCGAGTAGATAAGGTTCATAACACCTTGCACGTTGTGTAAGGGCCGTTACGTTAGCGTGGCCAGTGCCGAGTCCCGATTGGTGCGTGTGTCGTTGAGAGGCAGGTTGAGGGACTATTTGGTGGTGCGGTAAGAGAGAGCTTAAGGTCGATTAATGTGTGGATTGCTATCTCGCAGTGCGAGTTGTGAGTGGTGTAACCCTGAGATAGCCCTACAGACTTATTCAGGTCCCTGTGGCACCAGATGCACAAGTAATTGTGGTGCTCACTGCTCCTGGCAAAGTCTAGTCGCACAGTCCTCCCATTAAGAGCGCCCTTTAGTGATGTACTATTTGTGTGTATGCTTGAAGTAGCGTTTAGGAATAAACCAGCTGCCTGTTTGTTGTTGTACATAAGTCAGGCATCCGAGGGTCGTTATTTCAAGTCACAGACCGTCTTATTTTCCGAGTCACGTGTTGTTTTGGATACGTCACGAGGCACCGGGCCAATCACGTCAGACATACCGATGCCCAACATAACAGACGGAGTTTTCAGACTGGGACGGTATACATATTCTTGCACCCCAACGGACTCGTCCCCAGCCGCTCAGAGACCATGCGGTATGTGCCGTCTGCCTCCTCTGAGGAGGCCTCTCTGACGCCGGAGAGGTGTGACATTACAATAGTATACAGCTTTGCGAGAAATATTTGAAGTGATTTGCCGGTGTATCGTATTAGAGTCATGTCGCAAATACGGTATATCCTACACGCATATCCAAAGTGCCGGCTGTCGACGTCTGTTGTCCTTCCTCCTTGATACAACAAACATGCATTATGCAACGGACTCCCACCTCGTAGTTCTCTACCATATAATGCTAACCCGGAACCGGACTTAAATTGTTTTTCTTAGTTCATGGTTTCATCTTTGTCTTGGCGATTTTATGATAAGTATATCTGAAGTCGACGCTGCCCTCTCCGTATATACAGCTCTGGTCCGTTGGTTAACACAGCGCCCTCGTTGGCTGCAAGCCCGTTTCGCAGCTAATGTTAAGGGAAGCTGCTGAACCAAGTCTAGTCAGATACGCTGGCGTGACTAGAGTGCCTTATGAACGCTATATACTGTACTTATACTTTTATTTGCCCTACTGATTTATATTACGCGTAGAAAACAATACAGCAATATCCGAGATTGGGTGCCACGGAGATAACCCCTGGTGACCTTGCATTAACTTGTTGGCAGTGAAGACATCTCTCCTGTACCGCACAAGCTCGTGCATAGTGAGTGCATTGCAGTCTTCCGACACATACACACTGAGCAACACTGCAGGTAAGAACGGTTTTACTAAACGTAGAAAGGCGTCAGCTTGTGTTTATTTTAAGGCTGGGGTCACAGACATAAGTGAAACACACGGAGGAAAGGGGACGTGCCAAATCCACGCTGTGCTGTTCTCTGCCCGTCGTAGCAGTGTGGGTGCGTCACAGTTGCTACGCGAGCAAGTTCTCTTTTTCACATTGTAAATTTCCAATGTTGTTCGGAGTACAAGGGTTCTGGAGCAATGATTCGATATCAACTACAAGTCCAAGAGAGCCATCAGTGTTTAAGAAAAAAACGCAGTATACCAGTTCTTTATCGAATCTGTAACATTCTCGTCTGCGGAGCGTTCACATGGTACTATATAGGCATATAAAAATGATAAAAGTAAACTAATTCTCGTTTAATGAGACATGTGATAACAACGCAACGCATAGTAACTTAGGGAGGCGTTTCAGTTGTAGGCACAAAAAGTGGCTAATGAATCAGCAAAGATAGGGAATTCAGACAGCAAAAGCATGCGTCAGAACTCAGAAAATCCATCGTTTTTCATGCATGCTCGCATCCTGTCAGTGCAGCAGTGGTCAGGATTTCTCCCTGCAACGTCATCAGTTTTTCTCATGAGTGTAGCAATTCATCAGCATGAAACAAAAAGAAATACATTTAAAAACTTGCAAGCCAAGGATAGAAAATGAAGGTAGTCGAACAAGTTTTATTTTCGTGTAAACCAGCTGAATTGCAACATTCAGAACATTTAGAAGACACCCAAAATGTTTCTCCCTTATGACCAGAAATGTAACTTCTATATGCCCCCCAGGGCACTCTTTATGCTTGTAATTTTTACCCTTATTAAAATAGTTCTGTATTCCTCACTGTACGCCATAAATTTTTCCTCGGATACTGTTCAGGTTTCGAACCTTTCCTGTTCACCATGGTGTTGACGATCTATGGACATCGGATGTCCCAGCCTTCTCGCAATGTTTATCTGTTCTGTAAGGTTGCCAAGATACCGTACGTTGAGAGCAATGTCGACTTGTGGCACGGTATGTGTTTAGCAAATTTGGGAAGATCGACGAATTAGATAATGCAGCAAAGGATTAGAAGAGGCACAGTTTCAATTCAAGAAGATGCGAGATCTTGCGTGAGGTTGTTCGCGGAAATAACAGCGGGACTAGAATCCATTCGGTCGCCAGCTTTATAACGCGGGTATTTTTGATGGAAGTTCGTCGCAGCTGCTGACTCAAAAAGCATATGCAATCACAATTTTCAGAGCACTGATTTGATATTATATTCTCGTCGATATACTTTAATACTGCATCACGTTCAGTGCGCAGCAGCAACGTGCACGCGAAAATGTTGACCCGGATGCAAGTTGACTTCTCAAAAAACAAATGGAGAATGGAATATCTGTCCATCTCAGCATCTTTTAAGGATGATGGGAACAAGCGAAGGTGAATGCACTTGGCGTGTTTGTATTTTATGTGACCATTGCCTCCACGTTCCTCTGCACTACAGCTGAACAGAAAAAAGAAGCCTACCTGGCGATCAATCCCTTAGGCAAAGTGCCGTTCATCGTAGATGATGACTTCAAACTCGGCGAAAGGTAATCATGGCTTGGGGTCAAGCAGATTTCACTGAATGCTCAGTATCGACTCCTTGGTGCATGAGTCCCTCCATCGGGAAAAAATGGTTCAAAAAAGGACTACAGATATCGGTATCAAGAGGTTATATTCCAAAAACATATTTGGTTCTTCCCATTTCAGGGTGGTATTTCTTTAATTTGGCTAGTTACTCTGAAATTGGATTATTTCTAGGCCTATTCTGTTTCTAAAAGTAGTTTGATATCCTCTCTGAACGAAAACTTGAAACTACAGACGATGTTCAGGTCTCAGTTTGAATTTGGAATTTCCTCATTTTGCGGGACGTCATGTACATTGACTTGCCTATATCAGTTGTACATTAAATGGTCTTGGTTCAAGGCGTTCGTGTTTTATCAGATTCAAGACAACCTTATTAACTTTTAAAATGGTCAGCTATGACGAGAACAATTGACATCTTGCAGGACATTGCAATTCTTTTGTTCCACAGGGAAACCTCCTTTGTATCAGTGATGTCATCCAGGGAAGGTCACATAGTTCAGGGCGTAGGTTTTCCTATTTGGTTTGAAAACCCAGCATTTAGTCAATGGATACATTCCTGATGAGAAAGGGGACCATTGCTTGCTTTTAGCTATGTCAAACAATGCATTACCCAAGAAAAGAAAAATTTAGGCGAGTAAAATGCAGTTTATTTGCGCACAAATGAATGTAGCATTATGGCTTTCTTCCTAGGATGATATCGCAGTTTTGCTCATGGATATGAACATACTCTTTCAAAGTAAAAATTGGCAGTAAAGTACTCTATAAAATCGTGAAACAAATGTTGAGAATAAGGTCAGCTGGGACAAAAATGTGCATTTTGAAGGTTTTTATTAGAAATTCTGTTGCAGATATCCCTTAAGTAGTACTAAGATGTACCCAAAGAATTTCAGGTAGTACTGCATGGTTTCTACCCTACAGTATGACGATTTTGAGGTATCTGGCGCGTAAATACAAAGTGGCCGATCACTGGTACCCGGACGACTTGCAGGCTCAGGCCAAAGTCAATCGATATTTAGACTGGCATCACACTGGTATCCGGAAAGCAAGCATTGACGTTTTCCATGACATGGTATGTACAACATAAGGCATTTCTTGTATTATTTTCAAGGGCATGAAGCTTTACTTAAACTTGGATCGAAAAGTAAGACCTCCGACACAGGGCTATATTCGCTCAGTTGGTAGCGAGCCTGAAAAGTGCTCTAAAGCTAGTCCCACACCTTATTCTGTCCATTTCATTTTGATAATTGCGGCTGCATCTGTAATAGCCAGGCTATATTGTAACCCAATTTTCTTTCGTCGGTTCGACAAATAATTTCACAACCAGGATACTTTTGACTGAACGACCCTTCTCCCGGCCAAAAATATGAGAACCATATAATATGGGCGTTTCACAATAGTTCACCTCCAAGAGTTTGCAACGCGTTAACCAATCACAGTGCGCGAAATCTGTCGACCATGATGCGTGTTTGGAAAGGGTCGACAGATTTCGCGCACTGTGATTGGTCAACACGTTGCAAACTCTTGGAGGCGCATTATTGTGAATCGCCCGTATTAGAGATGAGCGCCTTTGTCGTTATTTCAAAGGCACCTATTTCATATCGAGTTCAACAAACAGTGCCAAGAATCCATTTCTAAGACTCTCACGTTGGTCATTTTTTTAAAAGATCATGCAGCCTTTGTTTACTGGAAAGCCCATGGACGAAGCCAAAGTGGCCCTTGATCTCGAAGCATTCGACAAGACTCTCGGAACCATCGAGAAGGTATTTCTTGGAGATAAGAAGTACCTTGCCTCAGAGGAAATCAGCATTGCCGACATATGCTGCTTGTCGGAGGTAATTACTCCGTTGTTCACAGACTAACATAATTTGTTTTACTTTTCATTCAAATGCAAGACGTTTAACAAAACCAACCTATTCATGTTTCTGTGAACATACTAAATGTGTTATTAATATACTTGGGTAAGGGCAAAACCTGTTATATACTAAATGTATTCATTTTTATTAATAATGACAAACTTGGGTCCAGATAATCAGCCATTGCGTATTTTCGAGTACAGCACCAAATCATAGTGCACATTTGCGAATTGGCACCAGCCTAAGTGTATATGAAATACACATGACACTTTTACAGTGTTAACTAAAATGAGATGGAGACCGCGTCACTGACACATACGCAGGAGCAACCCTTTTTTCTTGAAAAGCTACACGAACTCACTTTTGAGAGCTTGTGTTAATTGAAGCATATTTTGTAAGAGCCAAACGTAAGCAGATGAATAAAGCGGACTTAAGGACTGCAAAACGTGCAGCCAGCATATTTTGACATCTCTTTCTTTTCCTTTCTTGACAGCTGATGCAAATCATGGCGGTCAAGCCGATCGATCTGCTGACCAAGCACCCACAACTCGCTGCCTGGAAGGAGAGAGTTGAGGAGCGACTCCGCCCGGATTACGACGATGTTTATAAGGATATGATTGAGTTTGGCGCCAAAAACCAAAAGAAGTAGTGGAGCTAAGTACATCGTCGTTCTCCATATTATCGTACACGGAAACTTGCCTTTTATCTTGACTAGCACGACCGAATATACGATCCAAGCAGATGCAGTTATTAAAAGGAAAAAGAGAAATAAAGTATTCCTTAACATGAAGTAAGAGTTGCAAATATTTTGTAAGCTGTCTTTGCTACGTTTTAATTCAGCGCAACGTTTTCCGCTGTGTATTTGCTAGAAATTAGCATAATTCATTATAAAATGAGTGATTTGACGTAAAGGGAAAAAGTTTTATTTGGCCATTTCTCAATAGTCTTGTGTTAAGATGTCACGAGCAGCTGCTGCACCCTTTTTACTCTACCACGCATGTTACAACACTAAGAGATGTTATTATGAACTTAGTTATTAATAAATTTGTGTTTCAAAAAGCGGTACCGTTAAAGTGCCAAGTGAATTCGTGTGTTATCGAGATAGAGACCGTCACGTGTTGCGTGGTACGGGAAAATAAATTCTAATCTGGCATGAAGGGAGATTTACGAAGTTGTATTGACTCAAGTCATCCCCAGTTGGAGTCCGATTTGGGTCGACTGTAATGCTAACCCGGAACCGGATTTAAAGTGCATTTCTCAATTTATGTTTTCATAAATGTTTTAGTGATTTCTTAGTAAGTGAGCCTCTTGTTGGAATGTCGGCAAAATTCATGCCCCGTTTTCACCAAAAAATGTTTTGGTTTCAAACACATCTATAGATGGGATCCCACATTGAACTGTTTAGTATAATGACATTAAGTTTTGGAGTTGTGATGGATTGAATTTTGCCTCGTGATTGGATAACAATCATCAGCACTTCTTTTCAATTTCATGACAAGTAAGATTTTTTTAACCCATTGTTTACCCAGATGTGAGTAAAAAACGTCAGACCTAAATTTTTCTCCAGAGTGTTTTTTTTTGGTTGTATTAGGTTCAATTTATTTACTTAAGTTGACTCGAACTAAATACTTTTCTGCACTCGACGAAACACTGACTTGACTGACTTGTTGATTAAATGACCATCATTAAGTAAACAAGTCTGAGACTCGACTTGAATTAAAACATTTGGTGACTTATAAAAACTGTAGAGCCCAGCACAGGCGTTGCAGAGGACGCTTGTCCCTTTCCCTTGGGGAAAAAAGGAAACCAAAAGGAAAACGACAAACGAAAAAGGGAAAGAAGAAGTGGGAAATCTCAGATTTGATGGAAAATACAACTTTCGATGGATTGGCAATTTAATAAGATGTCGCAATCACTGAAATGTGAGAAATTTAGAGATTTTTCGTTTGAAGTAAAAAATACAAAATAAGGAAGTAATAAATGTCCCCTGATATTTAATTCCAGAAGATTCGATTTGTTTTGCCTTTACAAGTCTGCACGTTGAAGTAAAAACTCACTTCAACATACCCTCATCTCTGAACTGGTAAGCCCCTTCACAGAGTTTGGTGCAGGAAGTTAGGTCACGTCACATGGGTGACTCACACAGTTCCATATACACATGGGTATCGTGCACGGAGTGCTCAGGAAAACATGAAGTCATATGCATGCGCAGATAGCCGCTCTTATAGGGCCCTGTAAGGAAGGAAAAAATTAGCGGTCTAGTTGGATAGCTGTGTAGTGTACTGGTTTTGTGGCCTCGTCTACCCATGTCCTCTTCACTGTGCAGATAAATAAAAACAAAGAAGCTTACCTGGCGATCAATTCCTTGCAGGCCAAGTACCGTCCATCGTGCATTTTTTTTTTCAAACTATTCGAATGGTAATCGCGATTGGGGGTTAAGTAGGTTTAATGTAATGTTGAACATCGACTGTGCGCTAAAGAGCAGCCCTCCCCCGCCCACGCTCCCAAGAAAATAACATGGTTTAAATGACAACGGGCCCCGGTATCCATATTCTCATTATCTAACTTGAATTCCGCTCTTCCAATTCCATTTCTCTCACATAATAATAATGCTACCCCCAAAATGCTTTGTCGATTACGTATTTCCTAATTGTACTTGAACTTCGTTTTCATATACACTTTCAGAAGAGAGCAAGTTTCTTTCTTATTTGATGAGGTTGTGTGTATGTTTTGTGAACCAACGTTCAAAATGATAATGTGGTGCGAGACTCAAGAAAGAAATCTTTTGTGACTGGTAAAACTTACAAGTATGAACAGAGCGATAGGCATCTAGTCAGCGCCTACTATAGCCTATATCAGCACAAAATGCTCTGCTTCAGTACACCAACTGTGTGTATACTCTGGGTATTAAGTTAGTATCTTTCTGATTTCTGCCCACAGCATGGTGATTTTGTGATATCTGGCTCAAAAATACAAAGTGGCCGATCACTGGTACCCGGTAGAGCGCCCAAGGTGTTCCGGAGTAAATTTTACTCCGTGTATTAATTATTTTGTTCAACCCTCCATTTTGTAATTCAGGCCACATATGTAACAGCCAGGCGATATCGCCACCTATTTTCCTTTATGTTCAGTAAAGATTTTTTTATATACTGAACACTTTGCTTAGTTTCATTTGACTTTATCTACCCTGTTAGGAATTAAGAATTCAGTAATGTAAAGTTTTGCGTAGGTTGTGTAAATTAAGTGGGCCAATCGCTCTGCGACTGGCATACTTGTCTTTACCTCGCTTTACCTGCTGTTGTTCCATGAACTGCTCCTGTGCTGTGGTCTGACACATTCTTAAACAGTGAAATGGACTTTAAAATTTCCTACCGGACTTAAAGATCACCTCTAAGGAAAGCATATTTTCTCTGATTTTTATATGTTCAAATAAATATGGAAACATCTAAATCAAACGCAGAGTCATTTGTCGTCAGAGCTCAACTATGACAAGCTTAAAAGGGCTTTTTTTGTTCATGCCAAGGTGCGAATTCTGAATGTAGATTTCGTCATTCTGACAAAATATGGAAAACGAGGGGAACCCTCGCCCTGTGTTCGTAGTGAATAAACCTTGTGCATGTCAAACAGTGCATGTAGCCATTGTTTGAAGCCATAGTTTGGTATGCACAAGGTTTATCCACTCCGAACACAGGGCGCGGGTTCCCCTCGGTTTCTCTGTTTTCTCAGAATGATGCAATCTACATTCAGCATGTCCAGAATTCGCATCTCTCTATGAACAGAAAAAGCCCACTTCAGCCTGTTACAGTTGAGCTCTGAAGACAAATGACACTGCGTTCGATGTGGATGCTGTGGATGCTGAACAGATAAAATTAGAGAAAACATGTTTTCCTTTGAGTTGCTCTTTAAAAGTGTTGGAATTTGGAATTCCTTGGCGCATTCTGAGCTTTCAGCTTGCTGGGGGTGGACAAGCAGGGATATTTTCTCCTTGCATGGGCACATGGCATCATCATGCCTTCCTGTCGTCTGCGTTGGACCGTCTTTTCGTTGCCGTGCCACCAGGGCAAGACCAGCTAGGTTCCATCACCGCAAACTGTGGTCTGCTGTCTTGCCATGTTTTTCTCGCCGGTACCACGCCCTTCCATTAAGCCTACAAGTCATCTGTCGAGTGCTAGACCTCGCCCACTGGTCATCATTGTCCAGCTCTGCTCCCGTCCGAGGTCGCCGATAACAGATACGAACTCCCGCGTCTTCTCGGCAGGCTGGCGGCTCAGGATTCAACTCAGGGAGGTACCTCCCCTCCCAATAGCCAACTTATGATTTGTTTAAATTAACATTGTATAATTCTTTGACATCCATGTCATTTAATTTCGTTTGTGTGTTAATTGGTAATATTGAATAATTAAATTAAGTCCAATTCTATTTTGAGCAAATTCTTTGATTCCGATCCTCATGTCATATCAGTGTTCCTTTCCCATTCTTTTATCTGTGTGGATTTCCGACTTCACAACAACCCTCTCCGAGGTAGTCTGAGTATATATCGCACGTTCTACTGTACTCCGCCACGTGCTCTTGTGAAGACATGCGTGCATGCAGGTTTTATACGACGCAGCGTAGCGGCCAACCAGAGTAAAGTCATTTTCCGTTGATTGGTCGAATTTGGTGACAAACTCGCCGGACAACGGCGTCAATGAAATGCATGCTCCAACGTTATGATTTGATCAACTTCAACCTAAGTTCAAGCCATGTTTCTCGAGCGGATTTCGTCAGACACAAGAATTATAAGCTTCCATGAAACAGTTGTCAACAATACTGAAAACCTTACGAGAATCTTAAACGTGCACGCATGTAATCCGTGTTCGTTTGCAAGCGAGCGCCTGTGAGGTAGAAAACATGCAAGGCTGAAAACCATAATTATACACACAGAGTGGGGCTATGTCTTTTTTATTTCAACCTCGAACGTAGCTACCTCCAACGTAACGTGGTCTATTGCAAGCGTGCGATACTGCATATACTGTAAGCAATCGTGCAATGTACATGTACACTGTACATGTAGGCTTTCTGCCGATGACGTCATCAGGTCAGTCTGGGAGCGCGAACGACCAAAAAGGGATTTTTTTGTGGGCGGGGAAAGGCAGGATCTTTTTAAATAAATAAAGTCATTTTGAAAACAATTATTTGGACATATATGGAACCAATTTAATTCGGCAATTTCTCAATTTCTTGTATTAGTGGGCCTACGACGCCAAACAGAGCAGCAATGTGCATTAATTTGCAGAAGCATACTTTAAATCCTCGTTCAATCATGCTAAGAGATACGATACAAACATGTTCATGTAGGAATAACGATGTTAAAATCAAGTAATGACATTCTGAAATCTTGACTTGTTTAACAAAAAATTGGGCTAATACAGCGAAATTGCGCTCGATATGAAAAGTGCTCAGCTTTTGCGAATAGACTAGTCCAGTATAGTAAGCCCCGCCCAGTGCGCACGTGGGCATTTAGCACGTGACTCTTTTCCAATGCCACACTACGAGCTTTTTTGAATACCGGTTCTTGACAACCCTCGGGTTGACCCGACACAAGAACAGAGGTCTCGAACGTGGCCTACAAACCTGAGAGGATAATCGCGGATCGATTTTTTTCAATCCCCGGTTGTTCGAAGGTTGAGAGAGGTGCGGCTAGAACAAAATGGTGGACTGGGTAGGCCCTGGGGACAGACGCCATGTGATCTAAATTTTTATTCCTGTACGACCAGAATTACATCATTTTCGGTAAACCCATAAAGTCTTGTTCTCTTCTCCCCAGAAAGAGCGCTGTTGTGAGGGCCATACTTTCATCTGTTTCATATTCATCTTCCGAATGATCCTCAAATAAGTGCAAATCCGAGATTTGTCGGCCATTTTGTATTGCATTGTCTCTCGAGCGTTTGTCAAGAGCGGCGATTCGAAACGCTCTACGTGTTTTAGGTATTATACGCTCTTGCACGCATGTCAGACTTCTGTGCACGCATGTCAAGTATAAATCACGGCTGTGATTGGTCAGAGCTTAAAGAATCAGTCTGTTAACAGCGCGACTATTTGATCTAGTCTGGATACCAGATCCAGTGACTCCGACTGTGTTCGTCGAATAAAGGGTCCGGTACTCAGACATATAAACGCATAGACCACTAGTCGTGCGCGTATAACCGTGATTTTAAAAAGTATGGGCAAACAGTTAGCGAAGCGACGGATGTAACGCACTCACATAGAGTGCCGAAGTGTGACGTCACTGTGAACCAGAAAGTGCAGTGTAAAACGAATGGAGTACGCGCGTGTTTGTTCACGCGCTGGTTAACGCGCTAATGCCTTTGACACACTAATTGTGCGCGTGACGTATTCACCTCGGTACTCTATTGCCTGTATTTGTTTACATGGTGTTCCCCAAAAGCGTTCATCTTTTTTGCTCTTCTGTACTGCTAACTCTTCTTTTTAGATGTTGCAACTTGATTGTTTTGAATACCTTGGGGCCAGATTAAGTAAAAAGAGGGATTTTACAATCAAAAAATGGCTTCATAGAATTTTATGACTGGAATTCTTCAACTATGCGTAAATTCCCTATACCGAGGGGCGAATTTGCCCATAGTTTTGATTTTAGTCGGGCGCCGCGCAGATCACGAAAACCCCTTGTAGTTTTAAATAGGACCTGGCGGTCTATGCGTTTATATGTCTGTGGTCCGTTATCGCCAAATGCCAAGTGACCAAAGCTGTTTCCAAAAATAGCCGAAGTATTCTGAGCCCGTCTTGTCCACATTCGGATAGCATCGTTGATGTTCGCCGGATATTTCCGGCTGTGTCTGTACGCATAATATTTTCTTTTGCTTGTTTCCCACATGCAACACTATGCGGTTCCCTTCCTACGCCTTTTTTTGAGTTTGTTGCATGTTTTTCAAAGTAACCACCGGCATTAACAAACTGCATTGTACATCTAAACATGGGATCCACTCGGGGTTTTCCCTGGGTTTTTGACATGTTGCGTCATGATCTATTTATATCTGTAGATAATACCAAACCTAAGATTTGTCAAGTGACATCAGGGAGTCTTTGGTTTAGGAACCAGACTATGTTATTTCTCACTAGTATGAACCTGAAGATTTTTGAAAAACGAAAATATGAAAAAACCGCCCGGCAGCGCATGTAACGGTTAAAAAAAGCACCCGGCAGCAAGTGGTTAACGCTGTGCCAAAATGAGCGCCCTTTTCTACCGGCGGGCCATTCATAGCGGCGTGTTAAGTACTGTCAAAAACCCAAAGTAGTGGTCATGAAAACAGCTGATTCAAACACGACATTGCATTAGTGGTCTCAGCGGGGACGATAGTGCGTTCTCACCAGAGGATTAATAAACAAAGAGTACTAAAACTGTGACCAATGGGGCTTCTGATAGTTTAGGCCCTACAAAATTTTATAGTACAGCAGTACTCTTTAAGCATTTCCCAAGTTGTTTTGTGTAGGATCTGCTCTTTGACGTCCCAATCGTGTTTTTCCTGCAAGTGGCAGCTAAAACTATGGCTGGCCATCGGGTGCAACAGTAAAAGAATAATTTACAAAATGTAAAAAAAATCCAGCACAGCTATCAGAACTCCTGACTCGTACCACTAAATGCTAAACGAAAATACAAATTTATTTTAAATCAATGAGAATAATCCATTTTGAACGGATTGTAGGTAAAATCGAAAACCAACCAAAAGGTTTTACTTCTGCACACTTTGGCCGCCCATACAAATTATAGGTACACTGAGAGTGGTCTATGCAAAGTACAGTTCTTTTTATGTGATTATGAAGTCCTCATGAAAAAAATATTGCATTTATTTGGAATTTATTTTTATTAATCTCAACTTGTTTGACCTGTCATAAAAATGATCTTGGAAACTAACAGTCTGGTCATTAAAGAATATATTAACAACTACGCCTATTCATTAATTTATATATTTAGTTATAAATTTGACACGAATATTCATTTGGTTCAAATAACCCTATTTATTTCTCAGCTCTGTCTGCAAATAGCCTGCTATCGTGCCCAAACTAACAGCTCTATCCTTTCTCAGCAACTCGGCACTTTTTTTCGTCAATGTGTTCCTGCGGTTGGTGGTTGACTTAAAGTGATTATTTTTGATTTCTGACAATTACAGTAAAGGCGTACTCGGTGATTTAATGCTTTGTGTCTCTGAAAGCACTGCTTTCCAAGGTTTAAGTTCCGGAATGATTGTTCCGAGTTAGCTGTAATTCTTTGAAGCATGTATCTATGTCCGGTTCTTTCAGATAAAGCGCAAACAAAAACACGCAATCAGTCAGCAAATTTCAAGTGACACCATGCACCCCTGATAGCTTTGTGTGAGAAGGCGAACAAAGTTCAACCCGAGTCAATGCAATGGTCGAGTGGTTGGGTGAATAACAGGCTGATGTCTACACACGCACTAGACAGTTGCATACAGACATTCCAAAAAGCATCGGAAGAATGAAACCAACTTAGGTCGTACAGGTCACCGTACAATTGATATCAGCTATGCGGAAATAATAATGTCAACACAGTAAGCTTGTCCTGTTTTGTGAGTCCTGCAGTGTTCGCCTGTTTTGAACATCCGAGCTGCATTTTTCATGTGATTTCTTTGACTATTACTGTTCGTCATCATCAAATCGGACCAAACAAAATACACAATTCAAGACAAGATGACAGGAGCTAAGATAGTGAACCGAATCACTATTGCCAAAAGGCAAATAGCCCCAAACAACAAGTAAAAACATTAGGACATTCATCAATAAAAAAAAGAAATGAGATACATCATATTACATTTTAAAAAGTACAAGGCGAGTAAAACCACAAAGAAATCATTAATTAAGCAAGTATCGTTAAAAGCCAGGCCAGAAAGCCAGGTAAAGAGATGAAAATGGCATACAGAAAAAAAATAAAGGTTGATAAAAAAGAAAGAAAATTTGACAGCATCGAACGGCCAGTTTCTAGACATTGCACATTGGTTTCGTCAAGGTATAGTTTACACTAGAGACACGGTACTAATTGACAATTAGGAACGAAGAACAGATTGTAGATGGAATATCTCTGGTTGATTTAAACAGACAAACCACAGAATTACTACACTCATCTTAGATAGCAAAATGGGTTTTTTAAATTGTTAACTTAGTTTACACCGCAATTTAAGCTGTCTTAAAAATTGTGAGAGCCTGAGAACCCATCGATGAGGCAGTTCGAAGGGTTTCGGGGACTGGAGTTTCTCCAACAGACGAGGGAATACATGGATTGGGTTATGGTGTGAGCAATTGTTTTTAGCTACAAGATGAGAAAATCTAAAATCATCTTTATTTAGCAGAGGTGGTAACAAGTTAATTTTTGCAAGTCCGAGTCAAGTCACAAGTCATTTGTTGCAAGTCCGAGTCAAGTCACAAACCAAAAACTGATAAAGTCAAGTCACGAGTCACAAAAATAGCGCCCCGAGTCCGACTCGAGTCCAAGTCAAGTGACTCGAGTCAACAACTCTGTCATATTAGCCACAACTTACCTCTTCCCAAAGAGAGGAAAAAAGAGGACAATTGTGTTTAAAGTGAGGAAAATCCCTATTTTTGCCGCCGATACATGACTACACCACTGGACCTGAGTAAGTCCACACAACAACCAGGTCCACATAGCGTCTTTGCTGGAGCGTGAGGACATCAGACTCGTGTCCAAACAAGCAATGCCCGCCTATCGCCAAGGCTAACTGTGTTATATTCACTGTACTTGACCCTTGCGCTTTACCCCATGACTTGCGTATTACAAAGACCAAGTACAAGCCGCAGACTCAAAGCGCTTGACCCTCTTGCACTCAGATCTTTTGCAGAGTACAGTGTGCTACATGTACTACTACTAGAACCACTCAATCACAGGTAAGTTACTCTGAATTCTTTTTAGGCCTGTATATGCACGTATCACGGGCATCGATCCGTCAGGGTCGGTAGTTAATACCCTAACAGTGAAGGGATATTATTTCATTTCCACTCGCACTTCTCGTCCCCAAACTAATCAAAAACAATCTGATATAAGCGAACGAGAACGTGCCTGTTCTGCGTCTCTGCCGTTACAATGTTTAGAACCAAAGCAGTACAGTTCTTGTTAAAACCTACTCATTTTTCTGAACATAATTTGACTCATAGGGAAACCAACCGCTTGTAGTGTTAACAGTGTATATGGACAAGATTATGTTTGGGTTTATTGTAAAACTTTCCTCATGGTTGTACCAGTTATGCGATTGTTTTCCCCAGATATTGCTCAGGCTGAGTTTGAGCGTCATCTGTTCACAATGGTGTTGACGGTTTACGGACATCAACTATCCGAGCCTTCTCGCAGTGTCTATCTGTTCTGTAAGGTTGCGAAAATTCCTCACACGACGATCAATGTTGACTTGTTACACGGTATGTATTAGGATAACATTGCCCTCTGCTGCTACATCATAATTTCGCCAATGATATGCTTTTTTTCCAAATCGACGTGGCATATGTTCTCGGAAGGCATGCACTTCCCGACATGCCGTATTGTGCTACGCTAAAGTAATTCCCGACAATAGAGAGCTGCATGGAATGCCCTCACAGAGGACAGGTCTTTGTTCCTGTCTGATACGCTTGAGTACACCCTTTAGTACTTCATTGTTATTAAATCTGAATAGCAAACATGTCCTCTATGAGGGCGCTCCATACAGCCCTTCTATTCATCTGACTTGTAGGTCCGGTACGTTACAGACAAACAGAACTTGACGCCCGGGAGCAATGTGACAGTCTTGGGATGCAGTACGTGTACAAGGATCCTTGTGTGGAAGAGAAAACAAAGCGTACAATAGGAACAAAAGATCCCACAAATGATAAACTGCCCCCAACAGGTAAACGCTGGGGAGTTTGGAAGATGAATAGAACAAACGAGGGACAAAAGAAGAACCTTAAAATCTACATATATGGATGAGCGCTCGCGCATTTTGTGTCATGGCAACAAGCAACCGAACACCATGGGAAAAGAGAGTGAATTTATCAAGATCGCATGGCTTATGGTGAAATCAGAGACGAAAGGCAAATTGTGAAGTAAGAGTTCCATATTTGCTGACATGGCTTATTTTCCCTTACAATGGTTTATCAGCCATCAGAAGGTGGTAACATGTTCTGAAAAGTATACTTTAGCAGTGGTAGGAAAACACGTTTAAGATCAGTCTCACAAGGTTTTCACACGGGATGTCAAGTGATGCCCGTGTATAGAACTCTTTCCCATTGTGGAAATGTAAACATTCACGAGCTATATCGGGTACCGTATTCTCGAAGATGTTTCATGTAGCTGAATTACTTTATCTATAGGAACCAAACTAATTTTAAAGCTGATGTTGACTTCCACTGTTATACTCGGCAATGTCAATAAGTCTGTGTAGTGTAGGTGCAATACGGTGCTAAAGAAGATACTTAAGCGCAAATAAAGAGGAACCATGAAGTTTATAGGTTGGCCGCTCCAACTGCACCTCTAAACACCTCGTGTGACAGTGACGATAAGGTCCTTCCGGGGGGCAATCCACCAAGCGACAGTGCGAGAGAAAAAGAATATTGGCTGTTTCTTTCAAAATGGCCTTAAACTACTGACAAATATATTAAAATGTGTCGGTCGTTTACTAGGCATTTCTAATGTACTTTTTTAATTTACTCCACATACTTCTTACTACAGAGGAACATAAACAAGAAGCCTACCTGGCGATCAATCCGTTAGCCGTAGTGCCCAGCATCGTAGATGATGACTTCAAACTGTCTGAATGGTATGTTGTACCTCTGCAGTCTCATTAATTGTGAGGCTAGGTCTCTGTAACTTTCATGACATGCTGGCCATTGAATCCAGGTCCGTTTTCCAATACTCAACTTCGGCTCCGTCTCAGGCTTCACCTGGTTTTTTTAACTCGCTGACTTTGAACCTGTAAGCGCAGTAATCAGTCTAATAGTGCCACAGAGCATTGAATAAGACGCAGGAAAGCCAAAAATTACAGTAATTCAATGTAATTCAAACGCTTCAGGCCCACAATCGGGGACTGGTTTTTGGAACGAAGCCTGAGACGGAGACGAAGTTGAGTATTGGAAAACGGCAAAGACTTGTACGTCTACCTCTGCCAGTTGAGCAGCGAGGTTATTTTGATCGCATGGAGGCAGCATCAATGTACAGAATAAGATGATAATGAGCTGAAGCCTTCAAGGCAAGGCCGAGTGATTGGCACTAGATCTTGAAGGCTTGAGACAAGTGCGGATTCGGAACTAAATTTCCAGGACCAACCCGACTTTTGTCAGGAGGGGGTATAAATTTTGGAACGGAGCTATCGTTTGGGGATGAAATAGACCGAAAAATTCCTGCCTCTTATTTCATCTTTTAAATTGTTCTAATTGATATTGGCCAGTCCAACCAACCACCTTTAACGTACGGTCTTTGCTCAATTGAGACAATGTTGTGAACCTGGTGCTGAGCAGCAGTGGCCATATGGTTCCAGTGAATTTTAAGCCAGTCTACGGCCGGTTTTTCGTTTACAGTATGTCGATCTTGAAGTATCTGGCGCGCAAATACAAAGTGGCCGATCACTGGTACCCAGAAGACTTGAAGGTGCGGGCCAAAGTCGACCAGTATTTAGACTGGCAGCACACTGGTGTCCGTAAAACCAACATTGATTGTCTCATGGTACGTACACCATCGAACCCGATGAATTCTCGAATTAGACACAAAGCCTATAAGCACATTGATTAAAGTTTGTCCAATTGGAGACCAGTACAGAGTGTTGTCACACAGTGCAAAAGCTCATTTGGCGACGTACCTGAAAAGTGCTGTTGAGGTTGCAAGTTCTATGATTGTATTAATACTTATTAAAAACTGAGTTCGATGCTTTCGAATTTCAGACGGTATATGTGATGATCAACATGTTATCGTTGAATCGATATTTCAAATCGCTGTGCCTGAAGTATAATGTGTTAAAACCACTTCGTGCCGGGGATATCGGTTTCGGGTTCGTTTTCTTCATACACAATGCCGGACTGCCCGAAATCGGACAAAAGAGCTGGGCCTTGTAACAAAAATCCGTACTCGGAACGAAAGACCGAGTTGCTGAGAATGTCCTACATTTTTTCAGTTTTCATTAGAGGAGAAAATCCGTCATTGTTCTGAAAGATTATACCACTGTTTGTGGCATTCAGCGTGAGCAGATTATCACCGTGGATAAAAGCGCTCTAGTGATGAGCGATACTATACCGCTGCACGCTAATATGGCCCCTATTGAAAACACATCAGCCATGCACCGTGCCAGTTTCGGGAACAAAAGAAAATTACAATAACACCGCACAATCTGGGCTCCTTTTACAAAGATGTGTCTGTCAGATTAGAGTAGCCACCAGACAGTCATTCGTGTGGGTGTAAACGTCCAGTAAATGAAGATATGAATTTTTTAAGAATTTTGAAAACAGAAAAATGAAAAATCACCGGGCCCAGCAGAATCAACATAATGAGCCCGGCGCAAAGTGGTTTTAAACTTCGCCATAGATCTATATCCTGTCAAGTTCAGTTGTACGTGTGCAAGTTTTTTAAACATGAAACCTAATCATTATCCAGCCACTGAACCTCTTGATTTTTGACAGCCTTATCTGTCTTGTCTTTTTAAAGCTATTCTTAGGCCCTTTGATGGGTGGAAAGCCGATCGACGAAGCCGAAATGGCCGAAAAGATCGAGATGTTCGACAAGTCTCTTGGAACTATCGAGAAAGTGTTTCTCGGGGACAAGAAGTATGTTGCTTCGGATGAAATCAGCATCGCCGACATTTGCTGTTTGTCCGAGGTAGGCCTACATATTGCAATTAATGCACCGGAGAGTGCAGTAGCGACTGGGGGTGCCGGGGGAGGGTTTGAGCAGGTTTTCAATTTGTTTCTCCATGAAAACTGAAGATAAAATATACACCTTGTGTCTTAAAGCATAGCTCTGTTAAATAGAATACTGCAGTGCGACCGGAAGTTAACGCGCAACTTCAGCGATCGTCCAATGGGAGCCTACAAACCGTGGCGCGTCCGCCTTTGTGTTCCATAGTTCCATGTAGACGGCAATCAATGGATGTAACTCTATGTGCAGTGAATGTGCAGTGGGCGTGGTTTAAACTGTAGTGACGTCACACTTACGAACCGGAGTGCCTTCTACACACATAATCTTGTGCGCATGACGTAGTCCCCTGTGGCGCAAGGGAGGAGGCTTGAGATCATGAGCTATTTTGTAAGGGTTAACTCCGTTCCGAGCTTTCACGCTCACCCCCCGACAAATCCTGAGCGCATTGCAAGGAGAGTAACATCGTATATACAGAAAAAAAAGGGATTCTCTCATTTTAATGCAAGTTATTGAGAAATCTAGCCTATTAAAGTTTCATTTCAGATCAGTGCCTTTTCCTGTGAAATCCCTACGACACCGATGATGACAAACCAGTATGGCCCCAAGAGTGTTCCGCGACCAGATTGAAGTTTATGCAAGCACCGAAATTTTATATGAACGTGCATTCGCGAATGGATCACCAACTTATGTCATTTAGGAATTTGATCTTAGAAAGGGTGGATAGTTTTAAAAAGTACATCACTTTTCGTTTAAAATTTATTTTCGTAACGGACCGATCTCTACTCTAAGTAGGTTTTTATATTAACATGTCGGCCGGCAAGTTTTTGGTTCAAGCATGACTGTATAATATGGTTCGGGATTTTCCAACTCAAACCATTTACCATTTTTGCAGACACGAAATTATTTACCGAAACTCGGGAATAGCCGCCCTTCCTCTGGCACCCTTCTACATTTATTTTCGTGTCCTTTTTCCCAGGTCATGCAGAGCGTCTCTCTCCTCCGAAGTCGCACCGATTTGCTGGCCAGCCACCCAAAGCTCGCTGCTTGGAAGGAGAGAGCTGTGGAGAAGCTCAATCCCGACTACGATGAGGTTTTCAAGCTTCTCTCTGAGTTTGCTGCCAATCCACAGACGGACCTCTTGTAATTCTGCAGGAAATACGCACTAGTGCTCCCCAATTTGGACTGTATTAAGCAAGTGTCTCTGTTCGACTCGACTCTCATATCCCAATCAGTGCATATGCCACTCCATAACCAAAAGGAAAAGGAAAGTCATGAATGCTTTTAATAAATAAAGAGCGAATGTTTGCAAAACCTAGGTTGCCTGCAAATGTAGTTTTTACACTTTAAAGTGATGTCATCCAATTTTTAATCCATTGCAACAAAGCTCCCCATTTTGTTCGCGACAGTTAGGCCTACGTAGCTTAAAAACAGTTATAACGATAGACATACAATTTAGTTTCACTGTTTTACCTTAGGTCTTGTGTTGTAACGTCAGCTGGTGCATTCTTTCACGAAAAAACATCCAAGATTACGAGACTACACAAATCACCGTGTTGCTGCATCGATAATCAGTTCCTCCTAAGTGAACAAGTTCTTCTCACGAAGGAGTAATTTGCATTTCTTAAGAAAAGATTTGTATCCATGTAAATTTAATTTGCACGTCGTTCAGGTGATCCTGGAAAATTACAGACATTGATTATAAAGCGATTAACTGCTCAAAATGTCACGTCAGTCTTCATTTGTGTCAAAAAAACCCGATTGTACTTGTCAACCGACTCATCTGAAAATTGACGTGTAAAGGGTTGTTTGTTAGTGTTTTCGTTTATCATCCCAAAATATTTTTGCTACTTTCTAAACTCAGCCATCTTTCTGAGCTGCTTTCTCAGAGTGCATCTGCGGGTCGTGGGCCACTGCATTGTGGTTGACGCGTCATAATTATTTGGATTATGTCTCATCATAAGGGCATAATTATTCAACATAGTCTGTATCTTCATGCACATTAACACATTTTTTAGTTGTTCAAGTTCGTAATTGATTTCTTCCGTATACATGCTTTTTGGGAAGCAACTAACTTTCATATCTTGGAGCGATATTATTGGAGAGAAGCACTGTCTCAATGAAGCTCTTATAGTTTGATCCACTCTCCTTGGCTGAACGGAGAAATCGTCAACTCCTCAGTGTTGGCACAAAACTTTTAAATTTTCACCGTGACAGACCTTTGCTTTTTATCTTTTGCATGTCTAATGGCCCTCATGTAGGCCTATAAATGTATTTTAAAGCGTATATTTCTTTTTTTGGAAGTGACCCTTTCAGCTGTTTGTGTTTGGCAATCTTTGTTTTTGTAAACCAATAAATACAATGCAGTATCTCCCGGGGATCTTCGACATTATGAATAGCTTAAACAATAATGCTCGATGAATGAGTTGCCATATTTGCCGATGTCTGGGTCTGATAGCTTTGTGGTAACAGGCAGATCCGTGGACGTTGATTCATCAAACAAAAAAATGCAGATCATGTGGGGTATTTAGAGTCGTAAAATTTCCATTCATCGTGAATAACAGCGTCAACAAGTCGTGCTTTTTTAGTGGATGTGCCATATTGCACGTACCGGACCAGCCCGGTACTGGGCCAACTATAACGAGGAAACATATAGTTGACAATACCCCGTTGACCCATTCTGACGACTTCATAGCTCGAAAATGCTTGACAAAGTTCCCACTGCTCAAAGTTCAAGGGTACAGCTTGTACATGTACATGTACGCTGCACTAGCGCCCTGCACATTTGCAGACGCAGTCACAAAAGCATTCGTAGTGATCGAGAAAATAACATGGCGCCATGTGTGCACATTCAAGTAATGCAGACAGGCCTTTGTTCAAGTGCCTTTGATAAATCACTTTTGCAGTTATTGGGGTCTAATTTTATTCAATATTCCGTTCGGGGTTTTTCCTTGAATGTTCCCCTTTTGCTTGCCACAATAATTCAGACGACTTTAGAAGTGTTTTTTCCTAAGAGTGAGACAATGTGCTGACCTGGGCAGGTCCGTATAAAGTATTGAAACTGCACTTTGTAAACAGCTTCAGTTCTTTGGACCACAACGTATCAAAAGCATGCACGAATCGCGAACACAGACTAGTTTGTTCTGTTTGGCCCCTGAGGATACACCCCCTTAACTGGCATTCTTGACCTTTACCAGGCACGAACATAGATCTAGAGTTGAAAGACGTGTATATGTACATGTAGGCCTGCATGTTCATACTGTACACGTACATCGATGCATTTATACTTCCTGGTAAAAAAAGGGGGGGTAGGTAGCCCGGCTGAGGTTGTTCACAAGGACCATGGAGGTAGATTCTACCTCCATGACAAGGACCAACCGTGTCACCGTCCATCTTTTTCGTCTCCTTATTGTTAAGTTTTTTTGTTACAATATGTAAAACCTTTTCAACATCCAGTGAAAGCGGACAGTTTGAAGCATCATTGCCGTAGGTTGCTTACATAAATGAAATATGCCATCCCAGACCATACTCTTGAAACCCTTCTTGTTTGTATGGCGAAAGTTGCTTGAGAAGCTAAAGACCACCAATGTGACTTACAATAAAAAAAACCTTCAGATACCACTTCCCCCTCCCCACACAACCGTCTCTATCATGTGGCCTATGCCACCTCACAGCCCTCATGTTGCCTTCCAGCTGAGCTTGAGGCTGAGGCAATTGGTCACAACTTGCCTCAGAAAAACATATACGTATAGCCGCAAATGGGAATGCGTCTGCGGCGGACCAGCCCAGACCAAAGATCCTATAAATACAAAGATAATTATTTACTGGGAGTTTCTAGCATTGACACTCTCTCACATTTAGGAGCATGACCAAAGCCATGTTCCCTGCAAATTAATAGCAGAGAAATGCAGAGAGAATGGTTCTACGCTCTTCGAGACCCCCACCCCAAGAGAACCCCCCCTGGTGTTTATTCGCAGTGCACGGGGAAGCTCCAGGTCAAACAAAAAGTAAAACTTCATGTAAATTGGCTACCTGCAGGAGTTATTGCATAAGAAAAAATAGACGGATGAGGGCGTCCTTTACTTACACAGGCACGGTTCCCTTAAACGACCATACATGCCCCCTACGGTTTCTTTTTTAATTAAAAAACAGTTGTGAAATCAACTAGAATACATTTGTCGGTCATTTGTGGAAATCTGTTGAAATTTATTCGTAAATACATTGACATTTTCAGGCAAACATCAAAGCAAAACATTCTCACGGAACTGCCTGTGCAATGACTTCGCGTGATGTGTAGCGCAATGGCAGTTGAAGTTAGCAGCACCGTCCCAAAGCTACCATGGTTAAATTTAGGCAAGTGCCTATACGGACGTCATCAGCCAGGGTCCAACATGTGTTGCACCATGTAGGCTGTTTGGACGGGAAGCTGACACTGTGACAGCGAGCGCGCGCCAAGCGAGTCTGTTAGGTTCCGCTCCGTGCCCGTTCCATCCAGCATGCGGTCCGCTTCGGAGTTGTAGAGTCCCGCTGAAGAGGCAACATTCATGTGTTGCTGCGGACTTGCATGAGTAACAGTACCCCGTAAGTATAGCGACTTACTGTGGAATCAGTCCTCATCAGCTCAAGTTGAGGTATCACTGGAAATAATTGTCTGAGGAGCGCGATTCACGGGCTTCAAACCCTTGTAGAACATTTCATGTATAAAGTAAGCCGCAATTGCATTTTATACCTGTAAAGGGACCAAGGCATAACGTTACATGGGAACGAGATCCGTTTAGGGCTCATATCCTGACCGTCTGGTGATGTGACGGATGCATGTGGCGCCCGTTGAAGTGTACTGAATTAAAGTGTGCTAACCTAAGTTCAGTGATTCTTGTGCCCAACTGTCTCCAACCCTTTCCCCTTGGCCTCCCCGAGGCTGAGGGCGCGCTAGTGGTATTCTGTTGTAGACAGTTTACCGCCCGCCACTGCGTTGCTCCTCCACTTCACCTGGCTGTAGACTGCCCCTAAACGGGCCTGGATGCTTCAGAATGAACCATACGCTGATGTCGACCGACAACAACTCCGGGATGCTGTCGGCACGACCTGCCACAATATTGTCCCGCGATTCGACGTATCTCTGATATCATCAGTCTCTTCACTTAGTGGAATTTTGCCCAGACCTCAATCACGGGCAGGCACAAAATCCAGATTTTCATACTCAAAAAGCAACAAGCAATCTAATGATCGATGATAAGGTTTGAAGCCTTTGCCTACCCCTGGTGTTCTTTATGTCAGAAAGAATGACAAAGAGGGAAAATTAAGAAAAACAGAAAAGAAAACAAAAATGCCTGAATCCTTGTTTCCTCACAATTTTACACACAACGTAAACTCGTGTGTCTTTCATATCCTCTATGGTCAATAGATGGCAGTTTGTTTTTTGACTTGATCAAAAGAGGGCAGTATTACTCAAAAACAATAGCCCATTATTTCTCTACCTCGTTAAAAAGTCAAAATGGCGCACAGCCTTCGTCTTGCTGATCGTGCGCTGAATCTTGGTTTGTGGAGAAAAAAAAGGTATTTTTTGCAAGTTTGTTGCCATTTTATAAAAGAGGAGATTTCAATCGACCTGTAGGAGTGATTTGAAACTGATAATTTGTTGGGGCAGAGCAGCATTCGCCGGTGAGAAAAAAAGTCAGTTTTGTCTGTCACCATAAAAGGAAATGTCTCGACTATCAATATTGTGGTGCCTCTTATCTAGCTACCAGTAGATTTGACCTACCTTTTATACTTGACAATCTGGTGATATATTCATAACACTTTCAGTCGAATACTGTCATACATGGAATTACACTCGGTCACGGTGGATTATGCATTCGACCTCTCTAGCTCTAAGTTAGTCATCCAATATAAACCTGTGGTTTATTCGCATTTTAAACGGCCCCAGTTGTGACAATAAATTTTCTTGAATTACCTGTGGCTTAATTCTGTCAAAATCTTATCAATCTTAAATACATGTATATGCTCTTTCCGATCCAATACAGAAGCCCCCTGGGCCTTAACACTGCTTTTTAATGCTTAGCCTGTTAATCGCTGAGGTGCTGTCGCCGCTGTGCACATGTCTCACGTGAATGCGAATATCCCCCCCCCCAGATATTGTCCAGGCCCGGGTTTGACCCTTTTATGTTCGCCATGGCGTTGACGGTTTACGGGCATCGTGTATCCCAGCCATCTCGCAGTGTGTACCTGTTTTGCAGGGTAAATAAGATTCCCTTTACGGAGAAAACTGTCGAGCTTTTCCAAGGTATGTGACCATAGCAGTGCCCAATGTTGGCACATCGTAGTTTATATATAGTCATGCATACTGTTGACTTGGGCCCTTGTCCAATACTCGACTTGGGCTACGTCTCAGGCTTCGTTCCTAAAACCAATCCCCGATTTTGGGCCTGAAGCGTTTGAATTGAATTGGATTACTGTAATGTCTGGCTCTCTTGCATCTTATTTGATGTTTTATGGCACTATTAAACTAATTACTGCGCTTACAGCTTCAACGTCAGCTAGTTAAAAAACAGTTGAAGCCTGAGACGGAGCCGAAGTTGAGTATTGGAAAACGGCATAGGTATGTTTTTTTCAGAATACATGCACTTCTTATTGTAACATGATGACCCGCACGTGTTGAAATCCGTTTTCAATTCATGTGGTCTGGATTACAATTTTCTGCACAAACCTAGAGAGGAAGTGATTCAACGAAATAACCATCAGTTTCTACCCTCATTACATATCGGAAATCAACTCATAGCCATTTCACAGTGTAAAATAATGGGGGTGATTTGCAGTGCGGCTCATGATTAATTAAAAAATCACTGATGTTGAAGTCCCTGAAAAGATACTATTTCGGAGAACCCAGGGATTCCATGGACACCAGTTTTACCCTGACTGTGACTGTAATTGTCAATGAGGTAATATCCCGTAAGGATCAGGACATTGAAGCGCATTCTTTTAACGTCGACGGATCAAATTTATTTTCTATATATTTTTTTAGCCTGGGGACGGCGACGGAGGCAATGTTTTCCTTTTATATCCATGTACGTGAACATCTATAAGCATGACAGGTTGTGTAACATGTCTTGTAGACAATACATCCGTCTGTGAATCATAAGCGAGTGTACATGAAGAAAAATGGATGTTTTACTGGTTCGCTTTCCTGCGTATTCCTTTGCTTTTGTACTAACAGCCACTGGTAGGCAAATATATGACTCAGTTATCCAGAACAGCAACGCAAAGCAGAGGCCGTGTTTGTGTCACACGGCTCTGGATCATGATCAGTGATCCGTCATTGGTTAACGGACACCAAAACCTGCTTAATGAATGGTGCGAACCAGCGTTAGGATCACTGATCGAGATCTAGGTCTGTGTGACACAAACAGGCCCTCGAGCTTATCAATTACAGGTAGATGTATTCCACTGACAGCGTATTGAAAGGCGTCTTCTCATCACGCGCTTATCGTTGTCATGCAGGTGAACATAAACAAGACGCCTACCTGGCGATCAATCCGTTAGCTGTAGTGCCCAGCATCGTAGATGATGACTTCAAACTGTCCGAAGGGTAATTAACTATTCGGGTTTTGTGGCACGCTGAGCATGGACTCCAGGTGTCTATATGTAATTGCTTCATAGTGCCCCCCCCTAAATAAATACGCACAAAATGGAAGATGAGTGTTGAAAACTATATATGTGCTATGGCGGCCGGAACTCTTCTTGGTGGACACTGTATAGCGGCATGGGCGTTCCAGGGATTGTTTATTTTGGGGAGGGTAGCCACTTTTTCAAGGGAGAAACGTTTCCCCGTGAGGTCTATATTGCGTCCCTTTTTACTATTTGAAGTTTTGTCTCTTTTCGTCCTTTTCTACATACCATATCTTTCAGAGAAGTTAAGCAAAGGCGTCCCCCTCCCCGGAGACGCTCATGTACAGCGAAAAGTATAAGAAATGGGAAGCAATTCTCATGGCGGAACGATGACTCATATATGCTTGGGAAAAAAATGACTAAACGACTCAGCCATGAAAATCGTGGTAGCCGTGACAATGTTACCGGGTTCTCTAAAGAAGAAACAGTGAAAAGAAAAAATAAGAAAATCCTAAAACGTGAGAGAAAATGTCCAAGGCATGTAGTTTGGACCCCATGAGCCCGAACTGGATCAAGAGATGGCGCAATTTTCTAAGCAACAAGGTCTCCATTGGTCCGAACTGAACTTCGCTGGTTCACGGATGACTAGGAAATGCACGAGTACGGTCGCATCGCTACCGACAACATGAACACCCCCGACCAATATTGCTTCTTTTAGCCGATGAGGGGGTGCTTCTGCTCATGTCAATTTATTGCCATGCCCATTTGTACACCTGCATGCATAATCAAATTTATTAGTAAAAAACCATTTGGGTCATTCATTGTGTGCATGAGAGATAATACAAGCCTTTAGCCTATGTACAAAGACTCTTTGTTCTCGTTTTAGGACACGAGATTGGCTTTTCCGTTCCATTGCGATGTTTACGTCAGTGACTAATTGATACCCTGAAATTAGTTCGGTCGATTGTAGGCCCATGTCATGACATGAAAAGGGATTAATTTGTGTGTATCTTAAAAAAAGAACATGAAATTCGCAACGATCGTGCAAATCCTGGTTAAATGTGGAAGAGAAGACGGTGAATGGACATTGATGTTGTACATGTATTGGATTTCAGAAAACCTTTTAATCGATAATCACCGGATGAAGAAAGGGGGATTAGCCCGTGAATATGTTGTTAATGCATCGCCACTAAGAAACATGTGAATGTCCGCGTAGTAGACACGTCACGGAGTGCTCGTTCGCGTCAGTTCAACTTGCACCCAGAATCAGTTTGTGCAGCCTAACACGATTTTTGTAGTTTGTTATTCAGTCACTGCGGTGGTACCAGTGAATTTAAGCCCGTCTCCGGTTGGTGTCTCGTTTGCAGTATGGCGATCTTGAAGTATCTGGCACGTAGATACAAAGTGGCCGATCACTGGTACCCAGAAGACTTGAAGGCTCGCGCCAAAATCGACCAGTATTTGGACTGGCAGCACACTGGTATCCGGAAAGAGAGTATTGAAGCTGGCCTGGTGCGTACACTATCAAGCTTGTCAGTTTGAAGGACGTGAAACCTTAATTACTTTGGTTAAAGTCCTCAAACGTGGACACTACCGCCTTGGGACTCCGATGGCGGAGTGTTCGAAGTGTTCTGGAGGTCGCACGTTCAACTCCTATACCAAATTATTACAATTACTTGTACTCAACATTTTTCTGCAAAATACAGATTGCCATCGGCGATATTCATCATCAAATCGGTTTTCAAACCATGTTTTCAAACCACCCAACGAAACATCTACTTGAAGTTTTCACTATTGTAGTTCAGCTGCTGTGTGTTTGTGTTTTAGTTGCAAAAGCCATTATCCGGGCTACTTTGTTGCATCTCTCGTCTTTTTCCAAGATCTTGCATTCGCTCAAGACAACTGGAAATCCTACCTACGTAACCCAGCTGGCACAAAGTATTGAGACGATCGGCAAGACTTTGGAAACTATCGAGAAGGTGTTTCTTGGAGACAAGAAGTATATTGCTTCGGATGAAATCAGCATTGCAGACATATGCTGCTTGAACGAGGTGCTCTTTGTATAGCCGTTAAGTGTGTTCATTCGTCTAGATTTTCGCAGACAGAAAAAATACCCGTCATTATAACGATTCCCTCTTTTTTCCTGTCAGGTCATGCAAATCACTTGGTTCCTTCGAAGTCGGACCGATTTGCTCGCCGGACACCCAAAGCTACTTGCTTGGAAGGAGCGAGTTAAGGAACAACTCAACCCTGATTTCGACGAATTGTCTGAGTTTGTTGTTGAGTTTACAGCCGAAAAGCAGAAGTAATTCTTAAAGGACACACCTGTCTTCTTCTCGAAATTCGATGATTATTCCTTTATTTTCCACTGCCTTGCCCAACTCAGTTCATTTACGATTCAGAATCATCAGGAAAACAATGGTTCATAACATTAATATGATGGCGAATGTCAAAAAGATTTACAATACTAGCACTTTTTAAATCCCAAATGCTCTCACTGCCTATGATGCGGTGCATCAACCTTTTCATCCATTTTGTTCGCGAGAAGCAAATACATGTACATGCATCAGGCGTACTAAAAAAGCTGTTTTTCTCGACAGAGTCCATGTTTTTGGACACTTTCTGCTGACCCTGTTTTACTTAATGCGTCTAGAAACAGAGCAGCTAATTGTACAAAAATTCATTGGCTGAACAACTCAAGTAACAATTATGTGTCTTAGAGTCGAGCCAATTCCAATACATGTACATGTTTTCATAATTTCTTGCGCGTTCGTTGCTGCAAACTTAACTCTAAACTGAGCGGGAAATTGTCCAAAATGAGTGCTTTTGTCTGGTGCCTATGGATATTCACAACAGCTTGTCGTTGGCCCAAAAGCAAAGCCGTAGTTTTCTAAGTAACCGATTCAGAAATGCCATTACCTGGCTACTTCCAATATGGACGCGTGGGCCTACACCCTCCCAAGGGGATAAATGCGTGCAAACACAGCTTGCTTCTTACACGTAGATTTAGGTATAGACAGTAAGATAAGTCGCCAAGTTACTGCAAAAAATAAATACGTGTGCATTTGTAGCTCTTTTTAAAACATAAAGCTCTTCAGATGAAGGTGCGCCTGCATCCTTTCCTGAATACATGTATACAGAATTGTGTCGACGAACTAATGATCTTTAAGAATCAGTAGTTAAATAACCAGACTGCATACAAATAAATATGACAGGAGTCCCCAGTTGGGTCTACGAATGACCTCATGTGTTTGTCAGCCCAGTCATGTGCAAACTGACTCGCCACAGTTTCCTGGAGAGTTTATCATCTCGAGCCATTGATGCCACTTTCTGAACCCGGCACCCTTTGAAATATTTCCCAGAGTGCTTCTCTAGGTCCTGGGCGACTGCACAGTGGATTGTAGTCTGAGCGCCCTCTGCCGTCGTCTTCAGGAAGAGGAAAGAGATGATGGGCGCAATGGCACGCAGCCACCAAGCCCAGTTGCGCTTGATATCCGTGTCGATGGAACCTAAGCGGAAGCGGGAAAAATGAAAGAAAACGGGACTCATCAGTAATATCATAGGACCCACAAACCCTATCCAAACCGTAAAAGAGGAACAAAACGATACTACCATAATGGAAACAGATAGCAAAAGGGCTTCAGCTACTTTTAATCATCAAGGAAAAAATGAATCGATACTCGATAAAAACAAGTTCGTCAAAGATGGTTGTACCAAACTAAACATACGGAGTCGTTTTGCTCTCGAAAAAAAGGATGTCACGTCTTTTCCCTTCTTTTCTTGTGTTGGCTGTGCCCACTGAGCTTAATCTTCACAGTTTGAGTGCTGCTAAAGGAATCGGGAAAACGCGCGCACTGTGTGATTTGGTGACATATCGGCCGATAATCTCGAAACCTACCAGGGTGCAGAGCAAAAGCAGATACATCAGTGCCCTCCATGGTCTTGGCAAGTTCATGGGTGAACAGCAGGTTGGCAAGCTTGCTCCTAGCGTACAACTTGACCCTCCCTTCGTTCGCACCCAGCTCCTCCCCGTCCAGGAACCCCAGGCGACCCAGCTGGTAGGCATCGGAGGACACGGTGATGACACGGCTCGGGGAACTACTTTTCAGCTTGGCCAGCAGCAGGTTGGTGAGTAGGAAGTGGCCCAGATGGTTCACACCGAAGCTGAGTTCGTATCCCTCCGCTGTTTTGGTGCTGCCGTCATTTATCACGCCTTTTAACAAAGCAAAGGACCGCTTGAAGGATTCACACAGAGTTGGTTTTATTTGGTTACTTTGGTACCTTTGTCTAAAAAAGACTTTATGCTTTATGTTATTGTAGTGATTTCTGAAAAAAAATTGGTGGCTGTTGCATGCTCTTCAAGGAAAGCAAGTGGTGGGATTGATTATTTTAGAAAGAGAACGACTGTTGCAGTGTTGGAGAATATTAGAGAATGGCTGGCTGAATGTTCTTACCCGCGTTGTTGATAAGAATATCCAGCCTATCCTCCCTGTTGCAAAACTCCTGGGCGAACTCCTTCACTGATTCCAAGCTAGCCAGATCCAGACGCATGAAATGCACGTGGCTGTTGCCCGTCGTCTCCCGGATTTCCCGCTCAGCTATTAACCCTCTGGTTTCGGATCGGCAAGCCAGAATAATACGAGCCCCGCGATGGGCCAGGTCAATAGCTGTTTCCTTCCCGATTCCTGTGTTGGCACCTGCAATTATATACACGTACATGCATATGCAAATTATGCAAGGGTGACAGAAAACAAAATGGATCAGAAGGGCTCGACACCAGCTTAAACACATAGGCCTAGGCCTATTGTGTAATTCGGGGTTCTGTGGGACCATTTGGTTACCGTTTTTGAACTCTAAACTTCGACTTCTTTCGTGGTTTTGCCTGTTTTTCATACCCTCTCGCCTTCATTTGAAGTTTCAAGCTCAATAAAAAGTCACATTTTGCAACAGCGACACAGCAAAAGTACTTCGTTATTAAACTTCGAACATCATGATTGCAAGCAGTTTGAAAGTCAGAGATGAAGCCCAACACGGCAACGAAGCCAAGGTGCTTAGACACAGAAGATGCTAGCACATTCGCAAAACATTAAAGTATTGGTGCACGGTAAGCTGAATCAAGTTATTTATTTAGCAGACAAGGAAAGACGTCTGCTGGTTTCCTTTACTCTAAAAACACCAGGGTCAGACTGACCCGGAATCTGAGTCCCATGGGGCGTGACCCTTTTCCGGGTTGAAATTAACCTACTTTTTGACCAAAGGGTCAAATATTACCCAAAGCAGGTCATTTTAACCTGGAAAAGGATCAGGCCCCATGGGACCCAGATTCTGAGTCAGTCTGACCCTAGTGTTTTTAGAGTGAATTCCACCTCAAGCTTCCGGGACTAAAATAATTTTAAATTCTTTATTTTGTGCATCATAAAACACACTTAGACTAGAAAGGAGTATCCACGACGATTTCAGAGGGTTTCCTGGAGAAAATAAGGGGGAGAAACTTGGACGGTCCAAGGGAGAATGGCCGTGGTTAAGTTTGTTCCCCTGTTCATTTTTAATGAGCTGCAAATGCTTTATGCAGCTATGACCATTTATGCGCATGCGTGAATAATTATGCAAGTCCATTGTCTGGGGACTAACATGGTTGAAACTTGCACAGAATAAAGAATACTGGCTTTAAGGAACGCCTAATTAACTTGCCGTTGCGCAGAACTATACGAAATCATGAGCAATTTACATTTCAATCAGTTGATTTTATTGAAAGGTATGATGCAGAGCGACTGTCTGATGGATTCACGAATACTGGCTCGATTAATCTACTTAAACGAGTTTCCAAACATAGGAGTCGCCAAACTCTAACAAGCACATTAACACAGTGCGATATTTCCCAATCTCCTGTAAAGGTTTCCTTAAGTCTGCTTGTCCGAACTTGTTACAATGAAGAATGCGCAACTATGGAAACCGACCGAGCTGTAAAGCCAACAAAATCCACTCCCAAGCGGGTGTGTACCGGTTTCCATTCCGTCCCCAAATTTTTGGAGGCAATAAAACGGGTGTCGCCTTGCCAATGCCTCAGGCTTCTCCGCACTTTTCCTTCAAGTTCAACAAAGTGCAAGGTTGTGCTCCCCCATTGGTACTTTACACAAACTCCGGGCCTCGAGAGAAAAACAACAGCGGACAATGTTATTTCAGGAGCTGTAAACTGTAAGGGGAGACACTTGAGAGCGTACAATAATAGGGCTTTACAGCTTGGATAAATACTTCTTAAAACTCCCTCCAGAAGGTAACGGAGAACTCATTTTAGGGGCCAGTGTTTTCGATTCATAAATGATATATGATACTCGCTTCTTTTTTGACGATAATTTTGGGTGGCGTGGCAGATTTAAAAATCAATAAAATGCAAGCTAGAGGCCTCCTCGGCCGCCATTCGCGACTCGGGCCGAGGTCCGGGCTTGCTTTTGGCTTTTTCATCGCTCGTTTCTTTGGACAGTTTTTTTTTCCCAAATTACTTTCACATCTTTGGTTGGACCGCGAAGTGACACGTATACAATAGTTTTGGTGATCCAAAAAGTGACATGCCCTCCATAGGCCTGGAATTTGTACACACAACACAACTGTTCGTGTTGCAGCAACTATCGGCGATACGTACATGTACGTTTACCGACAACGTACAGTACACACATGTACATGTATGTATGAGTAGCATCCAAAGTTAACAAATACTCGACACGGCGGCGAATCTGGGTCTCCTGATATTCTGATTGAGCAGTAACTAAATGGTATGGGCGCATTGCTCAGGGGCGCAATAGGAAGTCTCCCCCCGCCAAATTTTGAGCGGGTTTTTAATATAGTAGAGGAGGCCTCGATTTAAGGTCAGAGGCGCAAGTCATAGGCCTACCCCTAGTTATACGTCGTTATTTTTCAGTGAGTGAATGCCTCTGAACATTTTCAAATTTGGAGTTCAACATTTTACGACCACAGCGTCGCGCAATATGTGACGGGGGAAATAGCCATTACAACTGATGAGAAGGTGTATAAATGAACGCGTTTAAACGTCGAAGTGGATAATTTCGGTGTCTTACTTTAGAGTGAAGACCCACCTTATCCGGGGGAGAGATTCCACTAAACATAAAAAGCCAACTCCTTCAATCCAACAGAGTTACATGCATTTCTTTTTGAACGAGTATTTTTCTCACTTGTCTGCTTCCTCAAAATGATTCGCTCTTTTGGTCAAAGTAGGTCATAATTTAGGCTTTGACAATATGCAACATTCATGCTCGCGCCCACTTCAAGACACCCTGGGAACACCCAACTTCGAAGTCTGTTAAATCTCTTCCGCATGGTCTGAGAGTGAAGACGCAGGTGCTACTTGTGGGTTGACAATCTAGACACTTTTACGGAAGAAAAATACACGAGAGAAACGCCGCCTGGTCTTGCGTTCAGTGATAGTATGTCAAGTCAGAAGTAGGGCGACAACCTTTGAAAATTTGAAGAGAGAAAGGGGAACATATTGGGCTACATGAGTGTATGGGCTCCGTAGGCAAAGGCTCAGCTCAAAAGAAATCAAATCGTGGGAAAAGACGGGCCACGTACATGTGTACGACCTTAGTGTCAACGCGCAATGAACTCCAACGCGCGAACACGTGTGGTGGGACGTGCCCAAATCCGACCCGAAGGAAAATTGGACGTGTAAGGTTCGAATCTCGTGACGACAGAGACGACTGAAGCAGGTGGACGTTCGGCTTGGTCCTCCTCATCTCAAGGGCATGAGGAACATGGCTGCAATGAACATTTTAAGCTATTAAGCAATTCAGAACAGATTTCTGCTGCCCGTCGAGAAGAGCGACATTTCGACATTCCGGCGCCAAATGTAAACGGAAAACATTTCTCAAGTGACGCAAAATTTTCTAGTTCGCAGAGGAGGTAGGGAAGCTATAAGCGCTCCTCGACCACACAGGGGCTACGGGTGGGGAGGTGATCAGTTCGGCGAGGGCTGAGAGAAATACGTCCTTTTCCTTCCTCCATGGTCCCAATGATGTTGGGATTTAGTGGATGCGAGTTCATGCAGTGAGACATTTTATCGGGGAGAGCGAACCCACAAGGGCAAAGGAATGCCAGTAAGTTCTGCCATCCTAGAAAGCCTGTTGGGAACGGATTAGGGTCAGATTCCACTCCCTGTTGTGATAACAAATCTGCTAATCCCTGCCCTGGCGATCGACCCAAGTGTAGGCCCGCCCGGCAACGAGCGGCTTCACCATCCACGCAAAACACTCTAGGCTAGTCGAGGCCTTGGGGTTGCCTTGAAGGATATTCCCAAGCTGGATGGATGGCAAAAAGGACCCTACTGCGCAATTTGATCGGGTGTTTGAGGGGTATAGTTCTACAAATGTATCAAGCATGGCAACCAATGTCTATTCGCCCCGAGTGGGACTAAGAGTGGGCGCAATTTTCTTGGCAACAGAGGCTCCTTTGGTGCGAAATGCACTTCGCTGGTTCACGAACGACCATGAAATGATGGGTATAGTGGTCGCGTCGCTATCAACAAAAATGTACTCTCCTCAACCAGCAACATGGCTCATTAAACATGATGCTATAATTTGAAGCACAAAGGTTATATTTGTGAAAAGTTATCGAAAGCCAAATTTTAAGGTGGGCACAGTGGGGACCTTTCATAGAGCTGTGCCGCCAATTCTCACGAAACCCGGGCATCGTCTCACAGCGGGGACATCGACCAGGTCACAGCTGAAGGGTTTGAGAAGGGCGGGGGGAACAATTCGGAAAAATCACGCACGGGGAGTGCCGGCGCTCGGACGAGGCCCCCAGGCGCTGTGTGCGGCGAGGACTCCTCTATCGATTACAGGAACATCGGACCGCGCTCGCAGTCACGTAGCACGCAGGGGGAGATCCAAAGTGTTGTCTCGGTCTTGTGGAAGTCTTTCTAAAAGGTGTCTGAAGCACTTGGCAAGCACGGGCCATTTTCTTTTTTTTTTTCATTTTCAACATGATTGCGTTAGACCTACGGTTCCCCTCTTGCCTTCTCGATCCTTATAGTCAGGTCAAGATTTCCTGTTTACGTCTTTTGGGCAACAACAGAAAAAGAATTTCTCAATTTGTGGCACCGCTGAAGCTTGGATACTATTCAGCTACGCTTAGGCCATTACATCAACAGAAATGATCCTATTTAACCTTTGGCGCTATCACAAGCGTAATGCTGCCGAAGAATCGAAATACATCGCTATAGGAATGATTGGCTCAAAACAATGCTTTTCTTACGCAAATATGAAAAATCATTCTTGTTTAAACGTGTTTTACATTTATTTTTGGTATCGTCATAGAACAACCCTTCCAGCGAAGATATCACAAGTATTCGGCACTGGGGGCCTGTCTAGGTTTGGAGACCACCATGGTGTAAAATCGACACAGCAGCGTTTGCAGTCCACTGAACAAGAAGTTCCTAGGACCTGGCTCACGGCGGTTCACGCAGGCCTTTGGTACGACGCAAATTATTCCGAGAAGAAAAGACAATGTTATACGAAATACACGGTTCTTGGACCAGAGGATCTACGCTAAGCAAAGTAAATCTGGTCAGCAATATAATTTGCCTGTGTCACGCCTGTACACTGAACGCTATCGTTTCCTCGGTATGATGTGCATGACATCAAAGTAGGACACGTGCACACATCAATAAAGAAAATCCTCTATTAACTACAATTGCCTTTATCGTCATTGATGTGAAAATAAGACACAACAATATGATCATATTGCACCTTATTATTTATGGTCGATCATGATGTGAAACTTGATCGAACTATTTATCAGCATTGTTTACGGGATGTTATCAGCTTCTGTCGCGTTTTAGACAAAAGATCACTGCGACTTGCCCTATTCGAAAGGAACTCGCATAAACAGATTGGAACAAGGATAAGAGGGGTATTTTAAAGAACAGATCGTCCTTGGACCGTATGCAAATGGATTGACCATGCTCATTGCTTGCTGTAATCATTCATTTTCATGATGCAAAATTTTCCAGCGGTGAAGCAAATAAGAAATCGTTCTGAGGTGCACATCGGGCCTCTCAACTCGCAATAGAGGAATCACTCAGGGACCCAGGACAAAACATGAATTCATGGAGCAAAATGCGTATTGGAATTTGGGTACATACCCTGTGAAGGCATTCCTAATTTTATTGTCAATATTTCATAAAGTAGTTTAAACTATCATGGCTGTTTGTTCTTCGATCTCACGGTAAAGTGCTCGCACCAAAGTACTCAAGTCCTTACTCATACTCGAGGCAAAGTATTCAAGTCCTTATTCATACTCAAGGCAAAGCACTCAAGTCCTACTGATACTCAAGGTAAAGTACTCAAGACCTTACTCATACTCAAGGCAAAGTCCTGTTCACAGTATCCAAGTCCTACTCGTAAACTATAGCGAAGTATTCAAGCCCTAGTCGTACTCTTTCTGGTGACTCCTAACTGACAAAGAACTTTTACTGGCACAGGGCTGAGTGAGGTCAACACAAGATCACTACAAACCACACCGTCGAAGTTATTAAATTCCTCTTAACCGTGAGCCGTATTGATAAACAAACGTGATTGCCGATTTCTGTTCTATGTATCGCAAATTGCGCTGTTCAAACGTAAACAGGAAAAAGAAGTCCTTCCCCATAACACGGTTGCCCATCACACTTCTTCCACTTCTCATTGAACCACATCGCGAAATTAATCCCCGCAAATTTAGCTCACATTGCACAAACCGCGAACAGTGCCAGCTTTGTGACGTCACCGCCAGCCGACTGATAATCAAAACCACGGTGGAATTTTCCTCTCTAATCCCCGAAGTATCCAACCACGTTCCCACTCAGCAGAGGAACAAAGCAGCCCGCAGTTCCTGCGCAACAGAACGTGTAAATCGTGCCGCGTGTAATCGGCCCGTCCCCCTGGCCTGCGCATGTTTCCGGTGGAGCTGCGGCCACGATCGAAGCAGTGTCGCTTCTCTTCCGCTGTGCTAGAATTTCGGGTGGGGGATGGGGAATAACACACTCTCAGCGGCAAGAAATATTTACAGAACTTTCGGTCTCCTGGTTTGGAACCTCAATCTGTTTGTTTGAAAGCCATCCAATACAATGAGTATCTCTTCCTACCTCCATGATCGTATATAGCCACACATCAAAACAACTGTGATAGACGCACGTTTTAGGCCTATCGTGGTGCCATAATTTTTTACAATCACCCATGAAAAACAATTCCTTTCGGGTCGTCTTTATTGTTTAATAATACATTGTATTATTCCCCGTAGAGTGCTTTTGCATCTATCTTGTAGTGAACGCTTCACACCGATATGGCGCTGGGAGGGTCCTTTCTTTAAGATTGCGGGCGATAGGTCCTGATTTGTGGAAGGAGAAATAACACCACAACCGGAAGAGTTAAGTGAAGCCATGGGTCCTTGCTCTATGGTGAAACCGTGGTGAAACCAAGGCCAAGGGGCAACCACTGTCAAATAACAATTGTTATGCTTGTGGGAGGAGGCAGGGACCCATTAATGACAAATTATAGAGGGCGCGAAATTAACGAGCGAATGATTAGAGAAGTATTGAGAACCGTTTGCGGTTTGCTTTTTCAGTGTTCACTTTTTACTGTGATTTCTGCCTTGGTTGTTGGTGTGGTTTGTTTACTGTCTCACTATGCAGTGGATCTTTCGCCAAAGTCTCAGTACAGTTTTATTGGAAAGTGGATTTACCCATTTTGTAGGAAGAGGAATTGAGTGCACTATAACCCACTCTTGTGCGTTTCTAAAGTTTCGGGTTGGAAACCAAAATAATAGAGCAATTTATTCAAGGAGAATACTATAATAAATAAAAAAATACGACAAAAGGTCACCAAAACTGAAAATCTGTTCTGCTATTCAACTGTGTTTTCGTTAGGAATTCAATTTCTTTTTAATTCGTGGACAAACAAAGCCCTCTGTATCACAGCAGAAGTTGAGATGAGGACAAGTGTCAATTGTGACTGAACGCACCACCCAATAAATCAAGCCATAAACGACTTAACACCCTCCAAATTATTTCCTAACTACCGACCGATTAGGCCACTAGCACTAATGACTCGCGGTTAAATCGTAGAGGCGAACACGGTCGGGGTGAGTCATTGGCACCGGTCGCACGGGCCCGACCGGGGGCTGTCATCGCGCTTTACCCAGGTCCGGCCGTGCCCGTCCATTTTGGCCGGCACAATCGACCCCGACGTTTCCGGGGCTAAACCAGTTTCCACCGGCGGTTGTCTAGCCAGCCGTCGCCGCCCTCGCTCCCGCGGTAGAAATCAATGATTTCCCCCAAAGATTAAATTTAATAAGAAGTGTAAATATTGAAAGTGTTGAACCCACAAGAAGTGGTGATACAACATTTTTGTCATCTATAGCCACTGTTTAAAAATTCCCTGGTGGTTTAACCAGTGGGTGTGTTTTTATGCTGAAGAATGGTGCTTTCTCAGTAAAATATTGAAACCTCAGTAAAGACTTTCCATATATCCTAAGTCGAATAAAAGTTGACATGCCAAGCAATTTGCAGTGTTCCATTTAATTACTTTGTCAAATAAAGCCTGAAAAATTATGGAACAGTCTTGTTGTAGGCCTAAGCTATAACGATGTGAGCCAATACCTCATTCAGGTTTTTTTATAGAAAAAAAGAACAATTAATTGAGAAGTCGTAAACATACCTGTAATGATGACTGTTTTACCATCCAGACGAGTCCTGCACGTACACCTATCAGCCACTTTGACGAAGTAGTAATAAAGGCTCACGCACATTGTCAGCGCCACAGACACACAGACCCCCAGAAAGAACCGGTGATACTGAGGCCCGTCCCACAACTTCCACTGACCCAGAGACACACTTGACAAGTCTGACATCTTTGGTTCTCCGATGCGTCCGTATCTAACTGTCGACGGGCTTTTTTCCAGTGGTTGTCAAAGATGACGCGGGTTACACAGCAGCCTCTGTTTCTTCACCTTGAAATGATGTAACTCCCACCAGGGACAAGTGCTCTGAGATGACTTAACGACTTTCTCACAGGTGTCTCACTGCGAGCTCCCAGTTTACGCGTGAGCCTAGACTGCGGCACTGCACAACGGTGTCTTTTTTATCAATGGATGTGACGTCATGGATGGTGATGTGTGACGTTGGATTCTAAGACGTCTTGATTGGTTCAGAGTGCACAAGCGATGCCATGATATCAAGCCGCAGTTTGGCAACAGGCCCCCGCATGCGTGCACAGGGCAACATTAATCATATGTCTCACATATCACGCGCGCAATGTTTAGTGGCACGTACGGTACACAGAATCGGCGGAAAAACAGGTATTTCCCAGCGTTCATGACTAAGTGATTTCTTGGCAGCAACACCGTTAGGCCTGCCATACACTGCATTCGTCTATGACCTCAGGCTGTTGCGTCGTCCACGCTAGAGCGGGGCCATCTAACTTCCCACTATTATTACGCCTCACCAAAATGTGAATCATCGTTTGAAAACATGCGATGACAAAGAGTGAATAAGAGTGTTTTCCCTGGAACAACACACGGAAGTTTTCCGAAAAAGTGGGGGTGTATTTACCTCTCGTTGTCACGATAGCCATGCACGTTGTTTACCTCAGTAACGACGGAGTGACGAAACTGAAAAGAACAAAGTTTCTGTGATGCAGCAAGCTTGAGATAGGTGTTTTCTCAGTCGAGTTGTGTATGCCAGGACATAGTTGTGTTCTACTAGTTGAGTAGTTGACTACCCAGTGTTAATGAAAATAATAGTCCTGAAGCATTCATTTTCTTATAAAGCTCAACAAGACTGGGGTGGAGCTTATCTTTCTGACAGGAGGCGAATAAAAGCCGTAAAGCATGCCGAGAATGAGTCAGACCTGCAGGATCGGTTGACATTGTCTTCCGAATTTTGCCGAATGCGTTTTTCCTACTTTGCAGAGTAATTTAATTTGAGGGCTGTAGATGAAATTTCAACCATCAGTTTCTATTTCTGGCATTGAAAGACATCACGGTACATGTATGCGACTGTGGTCAGGACGGATACAGATGGGGGTTACACCCCCACCCCACCCGCACGGAAATCCGGTACTATGATATATTCATGAAAACATGAACATCTATAACGGATTCTACTATCCATTTTCCTTCCATGTCCTTGTCGGATTTACGGTGTAAAAGACTTCAATCCAAGCCTCGATTCTGCCGTCAATTTCCGGATTTGCTCTGAACAATATACCAGTATCATATGCGCCGCCTTAACACCACGAACAAACGCAGTGTAATCCCCCTAGCACAATGGACAAAGTCAACCGAAGCGAACGCTGAAAACGTAGCAGGCGGCATCACCTCCTCACCCAGAGTTGAGGATGAAGAGGGAAAAACACCTCGATAATCCTCTTTTACTTGGCCGTACAAAAGAAGTAACGCGGAATCAAAGATGCGGCCGGCAATAGCTGCCAGACACAAAGCAGTAAGCTGGCAGATTTATGGTCTGAAGTTCCTAAAGTCAAATCCAGCTGGGATTGCTGGAAGCCGCAGCTTGGAAGGGATCATCTATACTTGCAGTACAAAGTCTTGGAATGACCTAATCCGTAAAGCAAGGCTGGTAGGGTAACAAACGTTTAATCTACATGGGCAGGGGGTTCATTTACTGGCGAAGATCCGCACTGAACAGAGTTTATTTTCCCGGCCTTTTAATTCTAAGCCCAGGGGGCCTCGATAGAGCGGTTGGGTTCTCCATTTCCTGAGTCATGAATATGAAATTCATTGTAGGCCAAACCTAAACTTGGATATAGGACACGAAGTTCAACTTGAAAATATAGTCACATTTCGTTTGCCATAAAAGAATCATTATCTGCCAAAACTTTCGTTTTTAATCTTCAAAGTAATGTATATTAAGAGTAACATTTAAGTAGGCCAATATTGAATTGAGTTAGATAAAATATGCAGATTTTATATAATGCAGCGTCTGTCGTGAAAAACATGAATTCTTACTAAACAGTAAAAGACAATCGACTTTGTTTTGCCAGGAAATAATCGGGAGAAATGAGAAATATGAACAGTACAAAATATGTCATATTGGAGAAAAGCTGCCAGGTCGTTTGTGTTTGAGACAGGTGGTAAACGTCACTCGCGAAAATTTCATAACAGATTTTAATCAATAAAATGGAAATCGAACTGCATGTACAAGACAATGAGCAGTTACCAGACATACACCCCACGAAATTACCACAGGCGGAATGCGCATGTGACGGGCCAGACTGCGACAAGGAGTCGGTGTTTTCGTTGCCTCAACCCCTGTGGACCCAAACTCAGGCGCCAGTGCGGAGATCTCTCGGCCTTGGCGTCGGCAACCTCTATGAGGGTGCCGCCAGCTTAAGCGGCCCGTGCTGGGGTGCAAAAACGCAAATTGTTTACCCTTGTAGCTTATTTAGGAGGGCGATGATAGACAGGTGGAATGATATTTTGTAACGAGCAGGGTGGTGTTTGTTTTTTTCTTGCGGGAAAAAATGGTTCCCTGCACTGTTCGTGCAGCGTCGTTTTCTAACGCTTTGAGTGAAGAATTTACGTGCGTCCACCAAACGTAAATGTCATTCCAACTATGACTGTTTCTTATCTCCAATTCTCTAATAAGGGATCCTGCTTTTTTTTTCCTGCTTTTTTTACTACTTTTGTTTCGATTAGAACTGGTGGAAGTTGTGTCTTATTTAGTGAGAATGCTTAACTGAACTGAAAGCAGGACGGAGTACATAGGAACATGAAATATCCATAGCCCTAGTTTAACAACAGCCTATGGGGAGGTAGAACGTTTTCCCGAGTAATTTTCAAGAACATGATCTATGGTCTAACGTTTATATAATACGAATTATGTGAGAAGCACTTACAATTCTTCAAAACGTAAATGAGACTAAAAATTTGTGCTTGTGCATTTAGATTGTTCAGCCTGGGCTTAGCCTATTCCATCACAATCTTGGCCAGTATCTGTATCAGCCTACATCGTGCCATTACCTCAGGCATTTTCTTTCAGTTTCGTGGTAAAGAGTGCACGGTAGTTTCCCAGCTAAAAACATGTCACCAAAGCAGTTTTGCACGAGAAAATGTTTCGTTACTTCCAACTTGGAATTGACTCAACTTTCACAGCCTAGCAGCTTTCATCATCAAATCATTCAATCTCAACCACAAAAACACACAGTGAAAGGGCGAGGAGTCATACAAGTCACCTCGCGGGAATTCTCTCCCAATGTTCCAACGGCGGCAGACATGAAACGCTTCCCGAAATTTATTGCCGGGAGAACTTCGCCGCCCTTGACCCGGGCTGCCCGCCGTCCCCTTTGAACGTTTAACGGCCGACAGGTGTCGGTGTTACGCGCTAAAAGTTTCCCCACGGAACCCGGGGGAATGGCACAGCGCAGCTCGCATGCCAGCTCCGTAAATCACAATTTCCTGAGTGTTTTGCAAATTTGCTCTTGATGGGTCAAACGTTGTCAGCGATTTGTTCAGGTTTTTTTTCTGTTCACTTCATAGACAACCAGATGTAGCAATCAATAAACCGCGCGCAACGCCACTCGCAAAAAGTGCAAGCATAGAGCAAGGAAACACAGAATGCAAGTACATGTAGGCCCTACATAGTTACAAAAGTTGGAACCTTAAATGAATTAGATAATAACCAGGAAACAGATTCCCGATTGCAATGCATTACCGCGTTAGACATCCCCTTAAACTGCCCATTAATCAATAACATTTTACCCCTATCCACCAGTGTTTGACACACCAGATGTATTTATAATCGAATGAACCACGACGGAACATGACTAAATACGCTTGTTGTCAATATTTTTACTCAGCCAAAAATATTGACTGAAGCAGGATTTGAACTTGCTACCCTTAGGTTAATGTAGGTGGAAGGGTGCCAGAGTAGCATATGAATTATGAAATGCTTATTTCAATGAAATACATCTATAGAGAGACTCACTGGACTCTTTTTATGACTTGACTTCGACTAGAAATTATGAACGAGTCTAGGGTAGTTGCCACAGACAATGGGCGGCCAAAAGAACCCAAAATTGATTTCACCAAAAATAAACGATTACGGGCGAACATTTTCTTATCAAAATGTAAATAGTAAAACACAACGCAAACACACACAAACATTCATAAAAGCAATTATTGAAAATAAATAATCAACATGTGAAAACAATATGCCTCCAAAAGTTCCTAACATGACAACAGTAAATCAAAATACGAAATAATTGATAAAGAAAAAAAGAAAACGAACTGTCGAAACCAAAGGTCACCAACAGTTCACTGCAATTGATAATAACGAAGCTAAACGCAAATCATTAGAAAAATTCTTAAACAAATTTGATTTATTTTTTGTAAAATTAATTTTGGGCCATTTGGCCGCCTATAATAGACGGTCCCACAGAGTCTTGTGTAATTTCAAGCTACAGCCAAGTGATGCATACGTGACCTTACAATGACAGCACAGGCTGGAATCCCATGTATTCAGATGTCCGATGTCGAAGGACACGGCACATCCATCTACACGCCACAGGTTGAAACCCCACTGAAACCAGTTTTTGTGTTGATATTTTAATAACTGAGGATATAACGCTCAATATTTATTCATTAATCGAAGTATATTTAAAGAACTCTAGCATCAAGGTTTTGAAGGGGAATTTTTATCTTTCAGAGAGAAAAAATTCATGCAATAACTGAATAATGTGTAAAATTGCTAAACACTGAGAAAAACTGTTAATTAGGGTATACTCCATTTGTCATTTACATTCTTGAGAAAAAAATAGTAGACAACTCTCATTCACTAAGAATATTGCACATTTGGAGGAAAGTACCTCTCAAAATGAGGTATCAAGTTAGTATGATGTTCCGACTGCACATGCATATATCTAGATTTGCCAATTTTGCCTCTGGGAATGAACAAACTGCAAAATTAATTGTCCAGTAACCAATATGGAAATAGAAATGCCATTCACATGAAAGTTAGGAAATAACCACTATTTCATCTTCTGAAATTTTGCACTCCATGCAGAACTTGGCATGTTCCATCAGCATCACCATGACGGGTGCACTCTTACACCCACAGCATATTTTTTACATCCTGATACTGAAGTTATCCAATCTTCTCGTACCCGTGTGATCGTCAGACCAGGTCTAACCAACACCAGGGCTCTGCCAAGCAGGTTAATGCAGCCCTGGCTTATTGAAGGGTGAAGAAGTGTAGACGGGGCAAGACATCCCCTTGTGGTAACTTCTGCTGTTTCAGAGACAGCTTCTATCCCGTTTCAGGTCCAGGGTTGGACGGGGTGGAGGAGGATCGCTGCTCCTTCCCTCGGCTGTACCTGGATAGCTGGGCCTTGGGGGTGGCCGACAATGAGCTGGAGCCTGTGTCGGTAGAGCTGGTGCGCTGGCAGCTTGTCCAGAAGGTGGGCAGAATGGTGGAGAGTGTGTACAGCCAAGGATTGAGGGAGGAGTTGATGGGGAGGATAAAGATGACAGCCCAGGCGTACATTGTCTAAATGGAGGACATCATTGCAAGAGTTGTTTAAGAGTTAGGAATAGATAGACAAGGGAAGCTTATTTGTTCTTATTCAACCAGGCTAAAATTGCATCGTTTACGAACTGTTCTCCCACGGGGCCCTGGGGGAGAGGACAATGAATACGTGTTCAGTTTTAGAGATCATGGAAGGAAAATCTCAGCTTACCTGCTCAATTTCTACAACACCAGACTGGGACAGGATCCCCATGATAATCACTGGTACCCAGCAGCAGAAATCGGTACCCACAATCAACCCCATCTTGATGGCCAGTCGGATCTCTTCGCTCTTGTCAGCTAGCCGGGCGGACTGCTTTGAGGAGGCCCTGGCTGAAACAAAGATGCCGAGATAGCAGAGAAAGACAATGAGGAAACTCACGAGGTTGATGCCCAGGAAGAGGACGATGGGGAAGAGATAGGCAGGCTTATTGCCAGAGGCATCTACCTCTTCAACCCTCACATTACCCATGATGGAATTGGACATCTGGCTTTTGGTTGTGATGTTCGTGGGCTTTGTGGACAGTGGCAGCCCCAAGCAGACATTGGACAGCTCATAAAAATCGTCATTGGTGGCAGACAGGGCACTGGCCGTCACGCTCAGGGCCAGAGCTAAGAGCCACAACCCCAGCAGTACCTTGGCCATAGAGCGACTGGACATCCGGAAGTGGCTGAAGGGAAAGACAACTCCAAGGAAACGGTCAATGCTGATCAAGGTGACCAGGAATACCGAAGCTTCACTGGACACCAGCCCTATGACCCCAGCAAACTTGCAGGTCAGGCTCGACCGCCATGAAGCCATCTGCATGTAGAAATCCTCCCCAAAGTGCAGATCTGCCGACGCAATGATCAACAGGTACAGGCCCATGAGGAGGTCCGAGGCTGCCAGGTTGAGGATCAAGAGAGTCTGAGATTTCTTTTTGTGGCCACGGAGTTCATGCCCTCGCCACAGCAACACCACAAGGTTTCCAGTCATTGCAAAAACCACCTACACAAAGGGAAATCATATCAACCAGTCTTCAGGAATGGAAGCTGACATTAAACAGACCAAAAAAATGTCAAATGGGAGAATGCGGGACGGGATTTCCACAGGGTTCAGATTAAATTTCTGAGTTAAACAAAAACAACATGGAACAAACAAAAAACATCGCAGGTTACAGAGCTGCAGTGAAATTTCAAAGCTCAGATTCGAATCCTCTATTTTCAAATGGAAAGTGGAAACAAAACTAAAGGTTTTTACTGACACTTCACAAAAGGGCTGTGGTTCCAGGACTGACAAGATTCTGTTTCCAAAAAATGCCCAATTAACTATAATTACTACCAGCTACTACACAACATAAAATTACAGTGTATCACTCTGAGAGCAAACATTACTAACAGAGTTGAAATGAGTCACTAACTTCGGTGACTCGAGTTGCGTCCAGTCACTTTAACATTGTAACTCGAGTCGAGTCATAAGGTCAAGAAGTCAAGTTGAGTCACCTTGTGTAGTCAAGTTGAGTCAAGATCTTAGCGCGAGGCAATTTAAGGCACAAATTTTTGAACAAACTACAATAAAAACACTACTACACCTAAGTCGTATGTTGGTATTTTTATTTCCATTTAGAGATACTGAAAATAAGTTAGGGTGACAGGTATCTAACCAACTAAAATTTGAGACTCGAGTCTTGTAAGTCTTATAAGCTTGTACTTGAGTTGAGTCTTCCTAAAAGATTTGAGTTGAGTCATTTAGTCTCAGAGACTTGAGTCCTTTACCTGTCGAGACTTGAGTTGAGTCATCAAAAGTTGTGACTCAAGTGAGACTCGAGTCAAGTCATTGAGTCAAGTCATTACAACTCTGATTACAAAAGGCAACAAATCATGCAGATGAAATGTAGTTAGTCTAATATAATATGCAAAGCAAAGCCATGAAACAAATCAATAAATACAATCCTTAAGTAAAACACCTGACCAAAAACATTTCAAGAAACAGCAAACAGTCAAAGTAGAATTTAGGAATAACTGAAACCTCTGAAAACTTGTCATCAACTGACCTGTATCCAAATGAATGTTTTCATGACATCCTGTGTCAACAGGCGACGGCTGCAGGTAAAGTATGGGGGGCGTGGTTTAGCATTCACATCACAGAAAACAGCCGAGTTGAGAAGGCAGCACAAGGCATGGTTACCCGTCTTGCTGTAATATTTGAACAGCAACAAAATGAGTTCACAGTTTAATGCAAAGTCAGTTGGACAACAGACACACAGTCATATTTCGTCTGTATCCTCTGTGTAAGACTTGCAGACGTAGACATGCAACTTGCTCTCATGAAATCCAAACGAAATCCCCCCTTCCCCAAAGTTTGGACTTGTTTATATTTTAACTCCTGAACCATTCAGTTGACAAATGTCTCATCCCCATTTCTTATCAATCTGTGAATTGACCTGTGAAATTCACAATGTTCTGTTTATAAAAATTCCTGTGCTTTGTATGAATAACAAGATTTTCACAGTATTCTGGAAGTTTAGTGTAAACAAAAGATAATCATTCCGTTTCATACTTGATTCTTTTTAGGAAATCTAAATTTGTGCAGATTTTCAGACAAAAATTCATTGGCAAATGAAGTAAAAGCACACACATACACAGTTCTGAGGTGGGGAAGGACATCAAACACCGTTACATCAATTCTCTGCAAAGGATTACCAGAAAGGTAGCTGCAATGGGGTAAGAAACAAAGACAAATTTCCATGGTTATTTGGCATAATCAGATGAAAATGTAAGTTGATAAAAATGTTCCATTCTGAGACAGTGTTTCCCTACAATGCATGGGGTGTCCATTCTATGAGCAAAAACATCTGTGATTTTGAAACTCTGTGTGTGATAACGTCAAAAAAAGTTAGACGTTTTATTCCTAAAATAATAAAAATAATGGCTCAAAATTAAAGTTTGAATCAAAGGCATATATTCATTTTATATCTGTTGGTAGTCTCCTGTTCAGTTTATTGGACTCGGTCCTTACAAGGGAATATTGAGCTCTGAACACCACGGAGAGAGCTTTGAAAGAAATGTACTCAACGGCAAAGAATATTTACAGATGACGTAGGTTGGTCAGGCCATCAAAGATTCCTTCCTTCAACTCAGTGATCCGATTATTCCTCAGGTCCCTTGATATAAAAATGAAAGAAGGCCAGAAAGAGCTTTATACTTTTTCATTTATCCGATGTAAAATGCTACAGGTCCAGGAGAGAAAATATCCTGAGAAGGTGACTGAAGGGACTGTTTCATCAGTTCTAGAATGGAGAACACACCCTTGAGTTCAGAGGTCACATATGCTGTAGTCAAGCCCATCACAAGTCCCTGCAAGACTGATCCATTACAAGCCATTCAGTCTCAAGCCAACTCATGAGCTTTTCAATGGACAGTGACAGAGGTATTCCATGGTCTCTAGCTGCTTACCCTGTTTCTTATGACAGGTCTTATGAAGGGACTTACAGGTATGTATGTTGGACTCCACTATAACACTGCAGGTAAATCATACGCCAAAGTGCAGTTCAAACTCATGAGTACTGAACTAAGGGACGCTGTCTATGACAGAGTTTATTTCAACACCTTTGATTTGACTTACGATTGACTGACTTGTGACTGATGAGCGAGGACCACTCAGACTCATACAAGACAGAATTGAAACCACGTTGTCTGAAGATGAATGCTTATAGACAACGGCTTAACGTTGCTGCAGCGCCTTGAACCAGTCATGCCTCAATTCTGATAGGCCCAAAATATCGTGATACTCACAGAGTGCCAAGTGTGTCCAGCCCCACAAAGGTACCGAGTTCCACCTTTGCAATGTCATTGGAATCCAGGAGTCTGAAATAAAAGAGAGAAACAACTCTTTGATGACTGGTTAGGTTATTCACTGCCCTAAATGCAACACACTGGACCAAGTTAAGATTAATGATCAAGAAGACTGGAATCAGCTGACCCTAACACCTGATGGTGTATGTAAAATCCTATTGAAATGGGAGGATGGAGGACCTCTAGGGCTAATGTACAAATTCTAAACAGCAATGAGTGATTTTTATCTGCTCTGAAAGAGTAGCCTATCATTAGTAAAATTACAAGTATTTTGCAGAGTAGGAAAGGTCTTGCGGTAATATTACTGGCTGATGAATTCCCACAAGGCAGTAAAATACAAATAGAACATTCCACCCTTGCAAGGAAAATGTCCTAGCATCCAGTAGAGAGCAAAACTGAGCAATATAAATATGAATGCAATATTTCGATCATATACTCACAAATCATAGACTGACACCAACCCCTCAAAGGTTCCCTTCTTCAGCTCCATTAGGTTGTTACTTGATAGGTATCTACAAGCGGATATGTCACACACAAAAATGAACTGACTGCTTACAGCAAATAGCAGTTTAGTATTTTAAAGAGGCTTTTGACAATTTCCACTTGAAAACCTGACAGTGACTGCCTGATGATTCAGGACGCCAAGCATTTTAATAACAGTGATTTGTTTTAATAGAAGTTCCAAAGTGATCAAGGAAATCCTAGGGACAATGGGGGCTTTTAAGTTAAAATCAGGCAAATGGCCGGATCTCACTTATGTCATATATTTTAAATGGTTAAAACTGAAAGCTAAAAAAAAAGGAACTCACAGACTTGTCAGTTGGCCGAGATCTCTAAAATGGCCAGGCTGCAAAGATGTCAAGGAATTCCCCTGAAGTTCCCTGCAGATGTTGGATGGAAAGATGGAAACAGTTACAATTGATAAATTCGAGAACCTTACCTTCCTCGTATTTAAATCTCTTGTAGCTCAAAACTGTCTATTGCTTATTTAGAATCTTTTTAATCCCAAACACTTCACACACAGCTGTGCCCCGCAACCAAATTCACAGAGCTACCAAGTGCACATATCTGCAGGTTACCAGCTAAAATGCATGACTGTTACTGGTTCTTGGCACATTTTCTGCTTATCACGTAACTTTTCCACACAGTCAGTTGGGTCTAGATTGCACTCTGGGCATAAATTCAACTTTCTGAGTATATGCTTGATAAGGACTTGAAGCATGGCACACAGCATTATTGAAATGTTTAGACTAAAGTTCTTCAGAATTGTAATTGGGGAAATCTCCCTGTGTATATATTTTTGACTTGGAGACTTGGCTTTTGTACGGTGCTTACAATTTATCAAGCTGGAAGTGTCCCTTGAGGAGACGGGGGTCCAGACTGGAAAGTTGGTTTCCCGACAGGTATCTGAGAAAGAAAGAGAAAAACACCAGACAGTGAGTTCATCGATGATGGTGGGAGGAGAGATGGGATCAATAAGAGGGGGGGTGAGTACCGCATTACGTCATCCAGTCTGGGATAGTTTCAGATACTCAAAGCAGAATATGAGAGCAAATAAGGTAAAACTGTTACTGCTTACACAGCCAAAAAGACCTGACTCATGAGCCTTGAAAACATGGAAACAAAGGTCAAATGTTCAATTAAACAGGAATGCATCCCGTGATAAGGTAAGAAAATCTACCAAAGCAGTGATTGAGATGAAGGAACTCAACTGATCAACATCATGAGATTTAAACTCCAGTCATAAAGTCGGAACATAAGTCACTCAATAATGCCACTTAACCACCAACAATTTGTCTAATTTGATTAGGCAACATTGAAGCACAGACCAGTCCACTCTCTGAGAAGGGAAACTTACAACTGGCCGAGTCTGGTCAGCCCTTGCAATGCATCATGGGGGAACTCTGACAGCTGGTTGTTCTTCAGATCACTGTCGGTTAAGGAGGTATTTATTGGATTGGAAAAATCGTCAATTATTAGTAACTTTAACATTTAAAAAAAAATTTGCTATTATGCTCACAAAATTAAAAATAAAACCACAAAGTTTTGAAGACAAGCCTTAAAACAATTTCATCATGCTTCATGTTTTTTCAAAACGCAACGTATCAACATTAAATTGAGATGAATTTTCCAGGCACAACTCCTTTGCCACAAGGAATTTTTACTCAAAAGGCAGATACATATTTATTGGGATATGCACAGCTACCTCCTTAGCAATGTGACAATTCTTCTGATGATGTTTTTCACTGAGACATTTAGTACCCGCTGTTTGTAATACGTACAGCACTCACATGCAAGTCAGATTGACAAGGTCTTGAAACAAAGTTGGTTGGATGAAACGGATGCTGTTGTTCCGGGCATATCTAATTTGCAGAAACAAAAAATCAGTTTAAATACAGGCATTTCACAATAGCGCACCCCCAAGAGTTTGCAACGCGTTGGCCAATCACAATGCGCGAAATCTGTCAACCCAGTGTGTCTTTGGAAAGGATCGGTATATTTCCCACATTGTGACTGGCCAAAGCATTGCAAACATTTAGAGGTGCACTATTGTGAATCACCCGTAGTGCTCAATGATAACTATGTGAACCCCTTCACTTGACCAAAAAATTATCAAAACCATGCAGAAGCAGTATTTAGTGAGTAAAATTATCAGGCAACTATTCAATGGAAAAAATATTGGCACCATAGGTTTAAAAAAATATCTTGAAGTTTTAAACTTGCTAAACCAAGCAAGAAACATTTTAAGACGAGACAAAAAAGATGATGACCTACATTCCTTCCAGGTGTGTAAAATTACTGAAAAAATTGTCTTCAAACTGAGCGAGGGCATTTCCTTCAACTGACCTGGAGAAAAAAATGGAAATAGCATTGAAACTTCCAACACAAACTGCATTTTATAATTTATCTCCAGAAAAGCAAAACATTTCAAAATAAACCTGTCTCAATAAATTTGTGGCTTCTTTCGGTATTTAAATAACCCTATCCAACCAACATGCTTAACATTTTGCCTCTTTTTCATTAAAATGCTATTTGATGATTTTTGCACTTACATTTTTTTGAGCTTTACAAGTCCGTGGAGCGTTCCACCCGCCAGCTCTGCAATGCCATTGGTCGAAATATCTCTAGACAGGAAATAAATTTACACACATCAAACATTTTCCGTATTATCTCAGAGTGTAAATTATACATTACACTTTTAAAAATTCTGTATTAAGATGAATGCGATAGGCCTCGCCCAACAAGTACCAAATATGCTAAACACTTCAACAGGGTGAGAAATTGTTGCTTAGCCAAGTATGTTGAAAAGATCATGTGAGATTTCAGCTGCTGAAGTGGTAATTTATTGATAGCAAATTTCTTGGGCGATGGAATTTGCTTTTGGCTGTTCTGCATTTTCTCGTGTCAAATACTGCGGCTTTATACGCTTACTTACCTGAGCTACAACAAAATGGCTAAGAAATAAGTACACATGCATGTGTTAATGGTGCCTTGTGGGAAACCAAAACAATAGGAAGCACCCCACAAGGAGCATTCATTGTCATTGTGGGGTACTTAAATGGTACCCTACAAGAATTTTGGGATTTACTCAAAAAGGAGGAATTTCCATGATATACTTATCCATTGAAAATTGAAGTATTTTACGTAAAGGACATACGGTCTAAGTATCAATCCAGCAAAGATAGTCTGGTTCAAATGGGAGCGATTTGGAAACTGCACATCACAACTGATTTGTAGTAGACACAAGAACAAAGGAAATACCCCAGAGCATGAATGTATAAAGGGATTGTGCTTAGCTTTGCATCATGCTTGAGTATCTTTTTCCATTTCCACATCTGCACTAAAAAACACAACACCATTGAGCATAGCGTCACCACTGGCTTTTATGCCAAGCTTTCCTTCACTGTCTGTTCATTGATCTCAAGTGCATGTAACCGTGAGCAGTAACACCAGATATTCACTGGCTTTCTTTCTCCGAGGATGCGATGCTGACTTTTGACAGCTATTTGCTCGTTCTCTCGTGAGCAACACTGTTACTCACATTTCCTCCAGGGCCATGAGTTCTTGAAAGAGGCCGGGCGGGAATCGACTAAGTCTGTTAGACATCAGCCTCCTACAGCAAAAATGATGTGAGAAAAACACGGTGACTTCATTTCTTCTTTAAGCCATTTTGACCTCTCTAAACTTACAGGTTCTAAAAAGTAAAACAATGAAAAATAAAGATTAAAACTTAATCTGATTTGTGAAGAACGTGTCGATATTACAGCATCCATAGTAAAGCAAGGCTGCAAAGCTGAGAATTTGTTTAGGCCTGGCGGTGTTTAAGTAATCATCTAATGGCGTAGGACCAAGGAAGTGGATAACTCACTCAGCCAAATGCATTTCCTCTTTTGTGTGAATTTGCAGTCCTTTGTAATACTAATAGGAATAGAGAATAGTTCAAGAAAGCTGGCTAGCCAAGTAGCGTACCCTGGTAGGCCACATTTCGTTCTTGGCTGCCGTCAGTGATGCACTGTTAAGCTTCCATCTCTCTTCCCCACCGCCATTTTGGTATCAGGGATTACTCTCATTAAGCCAACGTTTTCACACTATTTATTCAGTTGCTTTTGTAAGTTGATGTACGGAGTCAGTTAACTTGTTGCAACAAAGTCAGAGCCGGATGGGAATTTCCCTGTGTTTTCCCCATGAAGGTTTTTGCGATTTTTGCCCTTCCTGTACGTAAAGTTATATTATAAAAATGCTATTTCATATATACATCAAGGAAACTGATTCTAAATATTTTCTACCATGCCTAAGGGCATTGTGCCCCCTGTAAATGATAAAATCTTCAACAAGTAGTGATTAATGTAAGTTGAAGTTCACCTGAAGTTGTTTGGAATAGTTGCAATTAGCATTAAATTGTCAAAAGGTATCAATTCATATTATTAATTTCTTGTGATCAGTAACGCAAGTACCTACAAAGATATTAAAAGATATTTAATTGTGACCATACCAAATTGATGGCTCTTATGGGTCAGTTGTAGGAAAAAAACTATTTCAGTACCCTCAACATCGGTTTGGTTTGTTCACTCTGTGCCAATAATATTACAAGCTGTCTACCATTGCAAAGAGGACATTTTGTCCTTTCTAGAGATATATCTCTCTTTGCCATACATAAAGTAGGTTTGCCATTACAGTACTTTTTACATAAGATGAAGAATTAAATTGTATAATGATATTTATAATATTAAACAAAGGTATAATATACAGACTCCTAAGCCCACACGAATAACGGTATGCACACAACAGTTATTTGGTTGTCAAGACACACCAATACATAAAAGATATTTGGAAAAAAAGGAAACTTACAAGAATCGTAGCTTCGCAAGTCCTTCAAATATGTCTGCTGGGAGGTGGGTTAAATCATTGTGGTGTATATATCTAGAAACAAAAGAACAAAGAATCTGTAATTTCACATTGACTCAAATGAGTACCCCGTTAAATAAACAAAAAATACAAATACAGGGAAATAACAAGCCAGACTAACTCACAGGCTTGTACTGCACTGTAAACTGACTAGCCAGAACAAACTCACAGACTTGTACTGCACTGTAAACTGACTAGCCAGAACAAACTCACAGGCTTGTACTGCACTGTAAACTGACTAGCCAGAACTCACAGGCTTGTACTGCACTGTAAACTGACTAGCCAGAACAAACTCACAGACTTGTACTCCACTGAGAATAGTTTAGAGTTCCTATACTTACAGATACTGAAGTTGATGTAAAGAGCTGAACAGGTCTGAAGGAAGGCTTGTA